AAAATTTTATCAATAACGCCAAAAAAATACATTTTCTAGATAAAATGGAAGCTGTCTTAGCCGCCATCTTGAATTTTAAAATTTTTGATTCAGACCTAAATAGCACACTTATATGTGAATTTGGTCACAGTTCCTAAACCGATTGACCAGGTCTCCATTTATTATGGCTCGCTTCGCTCGCTTTTACTTTTTGTTTTTTCGTAGTTCTAATCTAACCAATTGACCAGGTCTCTATTGATGGTGTCCTTTATGGCTCGCTTCGCTCGCATTTTATTTAAGTCACAGTTCTAACCCTACCAATTAACCAAATATCTCTTAACAGTTACTCCTTATGGCTCGTTTCGCTCGCTTTTACTTTTTGTTTTTTCGCAGTTCTAATCTAACCAATTGACCAGGTCTCTATTGATGGTGTCCTTTATGGCTCGCTTCGCTCGCATTTTATTTAAGTCACAGTTCTAACCCTACCAATTAACCAAATATCTCTTAACAGTTACTCCTTATGGCTCGCTTCGCTCGCTTTTTGTTTTATTGACAGTTCTAATCTAACTGATTGATCAGGCCTCTATTGATGGTGTTCTTTAAGGCTCGCTTCGCTCGCATTTTATTTTAGTTACAGTTCTAACCTTACCAATTAACCAAATCTCTCTTAATGGTTACTCTTTATGGCTCGCTTCGCTCGCATTTTGTTTTAGTCACAGTGCTAACATAACCGATTGATCAGGTCTCTTTTAATGATCTCGCATTTTGGCTCGCTTTGCTCGCTCTTTATTTTGGTCACGGTCCCTTAAACGATTGACCAGGTCTCCATTTATTATGGCTCGCTTCGCTCGCCTTTTGTTTTATTCACAGTTCTAATCTAACTGATTGATCAGATTTCTATTGATGGTGTTCTTTAGGGCTCGCTTCGCTCGCATTTTATTTTAGTCACAGTTCTAACCTTACCAATTAATTAAATCTCTCTAAATGGTCACCCTTTATGGCTCGCTTCGCTCGCTTTTTGTTTTAGTCACAGTTCTAATCTAACCGAATGACAATGTCTCGTTCGCTTTATTTTTCTGGCTAAAATAGTGGAATTTTTTCTCACCACGTAAAGATTGGGTAAAGATACACAAACGGTCTATATACGCTATAAAGTTCCCGAGTCGCCAACTCGGTCAGAATCATCCTGAAATTTATATGGTGACTACTATCAGTGTTGCTAGTCGATCACTCAAATTATTCCAACAATTATGTTATAAATGCAACAGTAAAATTTTTGTTAAACCGTAAAATCATTGTAAAGAAATGTTTTCATATTTTTCATAAATGACATCCATGAAAGTTTCTCAAAAACCTCGGTATCAAAAAATTTTCAGTTTTTTTTCATCTGGCAACACTTCAGCTTATGTTTTTTTTTAAGTAATCTGAAAAAAGTTATAATATGCGCAAAAATCAGTTCTATAAAGTAAAAGTCGTGAAAAATGATCAATTTTGTAGATAAAATGGCCACAGTTTAAGCCGCCATCTTGAATTTTGTAATTTCAACCTCATGCCTATGTAGCCCACTTATTGGCGCATCCAACTCACTTTTTATTATTTTCCTAGCGGCAATAGTGACTGCGCTAGAGTCCAAAACGTGAATAGTGGGCATTAAATCTTCAAACCGCCGTAACTGCCAGGGTTGCCAGGTGTTGGCGATAAAAATGGTCAAGTGTGATTTCGGGATGCGCCCTCCATCGACGGATACCAATTTTCAAGTGTTAAAATTGTTCCTTTGACAGTTACAGTTTTTGGGGTAAATCTCAAAAACTACCCTAAAATCGGGTATTTTTTTTTCCACCATATGAAAGAATCTATAGAGATACACAATCTCTCCATACATGCCAAATACCTGCGGGGTTGTCAAGTCGGTCAAAATCGAGGTCGAATTTCAAACGTTGTTTGCTCTCAGTGTTGCCAGTCGATTGTTCTATTTTTTCCATCAGGTATTTTGAAAAGTTAAAATTAAAATATTTGCATCAAAAAAGTTCAAAAATTCGACAAAAATTGTTTTCTCAAAAATCTCATAAAATATCAAAAATTTTCGAGATTTTTTTTTCACCAGGCAACACTATAGTTACTTGCCTAAAAAATGTTTCCCCGGAAGTACTCTGACAAATGTCGCCAAGTGCGTCAAAATCGGCTCGACGTGGTGACGATACCCAATTTTTCGGATAAAATGGCCGCTGGTGTGGCCGCCATCTTGAATTTTGAAAATCCGGCTCCGTGCCGGTGTGGCCAACTCGATAACACATCCGATGCAGTTTTTACCATTTTCCTAGTGGCAATACTGACCGCGCTAGAGTCGATAAAGTAAAAAATGGGCAAAATTTTTCAAACCGCCGCAACCACCGGGGTTGCCAGGTGACGGCAATGAAAATGATCAAATGTCATTTCGGGGAGTGCCCTCCGTCGAGGAAAAGCATTTTTGAAATTCCCAAACGGCTCCTTCTACTTTTCAGCTTTTTGGGGTAAATCTCCGAAATTACCCTAAAATCGGGGAAAAATTTTACGTTATTCGAAAGAGCCAGCAGAGACTCACGACCGGTCCATACCAGGCGAAGAGCTCTGATGTTGCCATGTGTGCTAAAAGTGCGTTTGAATTTTCCGAAAAAGTGAAAAAATCACAAACGGGCCGCTGCCGGCGCCGCCATATTGATTTTGCCGAGTTTCATAATTTTCCCATAGTCACGACTATATTCGGCGTGACACCTCATTCACAGATTTTCTCCGCTGGCCACCCAGGTTCCCAAACAATTCGGGTTATGAGAGCATGTCGAAAAACACGTTTTCTACCGTGGAGCCCAGGGTTGTCAGCTCGCAGAAACGAAAACTACCAAAAGTCATAGGGCTTCCCCGGCACCACACCGCACCGAGTCTGTTTTCCGCGAAAAGTGCGTATTTCGAAATTTCACTTTTCTCCCAAAATCTCCTAAACTACCACGAAAATGGTAGAAATTATTACCAACTTAGAAAGTTAGCAGCGAGCCCCACGACTACCCCATACGACGCTAACCTGTCCAACGCCGCCATCTTGGAGAAAATCTCACAGGAAAATGGCGATTTTTCATTGCCGAAACAAAATGGCCGCCACCGCCGCCGCCATATTGACTTGCAAGCGAAAACTCCCCGAACGTGAAAATCGACTATACTTCCGAGTTGCCGGCGTAAAAAGCCCCCCTCCAAACCCACAGAAAAACAATTAACGATTGCCCGAACAGAGGTCGAAAAATGCCAAATTTCCAGGTGAAATATCTCGGCCGCCATTTTGTTTTTTTAATCATACCTTTTTTCAGTGTCATTTTTTTAGCCAAATCTATGACCATTTTGAATATCGTAACCGTAGAGTAAATAATGTAGAAATTAAAAAAATTATCTCACCGCCATTTTGTTTTTTGGCTGCATAGGAATATCATTTCAACTCATTAAAAAAATATATTGTCAGTCTCCATACATGAAAACATCGATTTCCCCCTCTTTCTACCCGAAAAAAGCATGGAGTGAGTCAGTCAGTCAGTCAGTGAGTGGTAATTAAGCTTTATATATTATATATATATATTAGTTTTCCGAATTATGTCAAGCTCGACAAAATTTATAAACGGTCCGATTTTAACAAATACAGCTATTTTGTAAACTAGAATAAATTAAAATATTCGATAATAATAATAAATATAGTGGTAATAAATATATAGTTGGCAAAGAATATCAACATATTTATTGATACAACCAATACGTTTTTATAGCTAGAGTTAAAGCGAGAGAGTTAGACGGTCGCTTACGGTCGGTGCTTAACAAGACGAATGTACCGAATAATCATCGAAAAGTCGATATAAATTAGGCATCTAATTCGTATATCCGTGTAAGACTTTAATATTACTGTAAAATGGTTGTCGACGAAAATTTTAATGGTAATTTTTGGCAGCTTACACAGGGTTAAATATAAAATACCAACAATCTCGCTGAACTACATTGTCAACGTCTTAAACAACGACATTCGTTCTACGAGTTTTGATTTTACACTACATTTTACTTCACACATAACTGAAATTGCAATGTATATTACTGTACAAATGTTAACAACACTACAAGTAACACCAATATGTAGGTACGTCACATGGCTCTCTAACAACAATAGTATGGAAAAAACTGTTCAGTCTTCAGTTATATTACTCGTAGACAGTGGCGTAACTGGTGGCAAGACGGCAAAAACCCACGGGCCCCAAGCTGGAAGGGGCCCCGGGTCAGAGGAGGCTCTTTACTCTTGACATTTATTATTACACAATTAGAAAAAAAAATAGAATATCCAATGAATTTGCCACGGGTTTCAGACGGTATAGTTACGCCACTGCTCGTAGATCAAAAGTAGTTGTTGAAGTCAGTTATCTACTTCTAGAAATAGCCCTGTATAACCATGTCCTAGCTTCCCTCCTTAGTAATATCCTGGCTACGTCTAGGGCTACTCATGCTTGACTTTGAAAATTTAATGTAAGACAATCGCATTTTTATTAGTTTACTAATCATTTTAAAGTGTAGACGAAGTATTGATACATAAATTTCCGTCTTTATATATCTATGCTATAAAATGTGCAATCTTAAACTATTTTAATAGTGCAGAAATAATATTATACTACTTGGTAACATTTTTAATTCACTACTTAGTATAATCACCTGGTATTCCGCGTATGGCTGTAAAATTTTAATAGAATAGTTATGTGTACATTATAATCATACAACATAAAGTTATAAACTTATTATATTTTTAGTGAAAATAATTACTTTACTTTCTTAGCTTGCACTTATATGATATCAAGAAAAGTAAGATTTCTAAATGTCTGGTCGTATAACCATTAGGTATATATTTTTTAGAATAATAATTTTATTGAAATAACTAATATGTTTGCTTTTTGTTTGTCATTTGCATCTGTTTAATAAATAATAAGCATTATAGTTCGTTAAACTAGGATAAACTACGTTAAACTTACCTGCTTTTCTACATTAGATGGACGGCTGCGTTGGTGTTCAATCACTGGTCTGGTTTTCACTGAATCCGGTTCGGTTTCCACATTTTTCTCTGTTATCACTGTGACATACAAAAGCGAAATCACCTTTATAGAATAGCTAGCTTTTTAGGTTCCTAGGGAACTGTTCATTTGGATATTGATTCATATCATGACACGGATATAATTAGAATGACAAATTGAATGGTAAACAATAGCAACGTTGGCAGCTATGGCAACATTTTAATTTTACTCTCATTTTCATCGCTTTCATCGTTTTTCAGAATAAAATATGGCCTACGTCCACCGCATATGATGTAGCTTCCCGTAGGTGAAAGAATTATTAAAACTACTAATAGTTTCGGAGGCTATTTTATGCAGACAAATAATCAAATCTTTCCTCTTCATAATATTAGTAAGATGAACTTGTGCGTATACTATGATTTTATCACGCAATTAACGTCATATTCTTACCGTTAACGGTAGGCGCTGTCGTCGGTAAATTGGCTTCGAGCTCACGTAAATTTATAACGAGCAATTTGAATAGCTCCCAGTCACCGAAAGGCAATTCGAGAATCTGAAACAACATCAAATGACGTCGTGATTAAGAGCCGTAAAATCGTTCTAATTGTAATCGAGCAAACATGTGATTTTCAATATTTAATCATCAAAGAGCGTAGCGTGAACGAATTATAGACATATAATAGTTACGACACTGCATTAAAAACTCGAAAACAGTTTTTTTCCGTTCTGAGTAATGTTATACCTATTTCACATAAAAAAAGCACGAAAGTAAATATCAAACTAAAAATTAAAAGAAAACAAATTCTATTATTATGGCTTGGTTAAACAAAATTTAATATATAATGTATTTTATACATACCGGCTCTAGTTCTTCGAGTCGACATGCGGCTAGAGCCAGTCCGCAGACGCGGTGCCGCTGCAGCGCTGCAGCCGCTGTATCACCGCCGGCACCTAGCGCTGTTTTCACCAAGCTACATACACGTTCCACACTCAGCGTCGATAGACGAATACCGGATATGTCACCCTGGAAACAAATATAGGCGTTAGGGTCAACGTGGAATAGTCAATAGTTCGGAAAAGTCATCGTATATATTTAATTTTAGAAGAGGGATTCAGCTGGGATACTCAAAGTGATCAATATCGACGCATGGGGTCGAATGTGGTCTGCCATGGGTCTACATAAACGAAAATAGATTTTGGGGGTGAACAACGTCTAAAAATCAATTATTAATTTATTTGGAACTGTCAAGTTGTCATAAATTTTTCAATTAATTTTATAAAATTTTAATGAGAGAATGATGTCAAGTTTACTAACTTAGCTAACTGAAATGTTTTTCAATTGGTAAGTAGGTATTTTGTTTACAGCAAAATACAAAAGTTAGGATTTTTAACACCCGTATCTATCGTTGAGTAAAAGTAATTACTTAAGGAAATATTTTAAAGAAATAAACAAGAAATTGAATTAAATAAGAATACTATTAATATAACTTCTCTCAACTATAGTTAAGAGTGTAAGGGCCGGTTTCACCGGTTGCTGATAAAGTCCCTGATAGTCTATCAGGAACTTATCTGCCAGATAAACTACAACTTTTGATTTCACAGGTCTCGGATAACTATATCTGGCAGATAAAGTATTAGATATGTTATCAGCCGGTTCAAGTGGCTGATATAGACGTTATCTGATAGATAAAAAAAAGTTTCAAGTGACGGGATCGAAAATAGTTTTAGTTTTAGACCATTATTGTGTGCTTTGCGTTGATTGCAGTCACAAGTGTCACAAATATTCTAAAATGGATTTATTTGTGTTTTTAGAAGACGAATTAGATGAATATTTCGAACGTATTACGCGACCCCGTAGGAATCGAGTAATTAACCCTAGACCTAATTATTTAGAATCACTTGACGTTCAAGATTTTAGGAATCGATTTCGGCTGTTGTTTATATTCTATCGTTAATAGACAGTGATATAAAAACCACAACGGGCTACTAAGTAGAAAATCTCCGTTAACTAGTAAATAAAGAAGCTCCGTTTCTTCTTAATTAAAATTCACACTTCTTTCACGTTTTTGTTTTTTCATTATTAATTAACAGATCCAAAAAGAATACATAAAGAAAAGTTTAAAAATTGAAAAGCGTCTTAAATACAAAATATCAACAAAGCAAAACAAATGATAGTTGCGTTTCGTTTCTGTAAACACGTAGCTAAGTATACGAATATCGTATTATTTTCATTCTAGAATCATAAAATTATAATTCAAAATATATGAAAAAAGTTTATTTAAATAATATCGAACACAAAAAAAATATTAATTAAGTTTTAAAAATGATTTTTGATTGACGATAATTTGGGTCGTAGTATTGAAACGCAAAAAAGCGACGTTGCCGTTCCGTCAACTAATAAGTGGCCGATAATAACTTATCTGCCAGATAAATTATCTAGCAGTTTGATGGTGAAACAGAAAAAAGTTAACAGCAACCTTTATCCAGTAGATAGCGTTAACTATCAGATAACTATCTGAAACTTTATCAGTAACCGGTGAAACTGGCCCTAAATGATTTGGTTGTGGGGTTCTCAGGTATCAGTTCGTTCTGGAAAAGGTGCTTTATTGTCCTCTCTCTCCCCTCCCCCCACCATATTTTTACAGTGTATGATTTTTTTTTTATCTCAATTAGGGATTTTGAAGGATGACCGTCTCAAAGTAGCTTATAATGTCTATGAAAAGATTTGAGAAGCTCATTCTCTTTCAACTTTAAGTAAGTATTATAAAAATTTGATTTTGGCACCTTTCTAACACTGACGCCAGGGGCAAGTGCCCTCCTCTTGATTTGGGCCTGACAAGACCAGGTCGATTTAAATAAAACGGCAAAAACGTTCAATCACAGAAACGATCAACTAACCAAAGCAGGAAACGCCGTCCTGAGCAAATTGAGCGGATTATGCATGAGTGGTTGCGGCGCGTACTGTTGAGGAGCGAACTGCGGCAACGGCTGCTGCATAGTTTGCGGCATGTACGGCGTGTTCGCCCATCCCACCCACATCTGTTGCGGACTCACCGCTACCGGAGCTGCAGATTGACTGGGCGGAGATAAACGCTGTAAAAAACATATAAAACTATAGTATAACACTTTAGGATGGGTACGATGACTTTGTTAACAAATATGTTTCAAGAAATTTGTATTTCCAAATGATTAAAAACCATCTTTATAAAAGTTTTGATTTTGTATCTATTACATATTTATTTGAATTTGCATATTAAAACACACACAAATTTTTAATATCCGTAATTAGTGAATTCTCAAATATCAATACTTGAAACGTAAACTGGAACATTTTATTAATACGGGATTGAATCAATAAAATCGTTATAGTCGTAATACGTATTCGGAAATCATTTGACAATTAATTATTGTTATCAAAAAATATTTGTGTAAAAAAAATATTTCTAATAAATATTTAATAAACAAATAGTTAATAAATAAATTATAGTAATAGCTTATTATATTTATAGTTTACTAATAGCCACCCTAAAAAACACAAAGGGCCGATTTTTTGCCTGTCAAACAACTTCAATACGACTGCGAATAATTTGTATGCAGCCCGATTTAAAAACATGAATAATTATTATTATTTAGCAAAATTTGGCGTCTAATCTTAAAGTTTTATGAACTTTTTGACCACATACGATTTAATTTTTCCATATTCTGTCATTGCTATAAATTATTGATCAAATTTTGTAGATAGTTGTAATGAACATACGTGTTTCTTATGGAAGAGTTTGAAGTGGGGGTGTCTAATATGGTGCGGTGTTCCCCAGGGCGCTGCCCCGCCAGGGCCCACGTCCTCATCCGCACCAGATTGCAGTTGCTCCTCTATAATATTAAAATATATTATCATATATATATTAAGCTCCTCTATAATCTATACTATAATAAAAACGTAACCGATCGATGTCTGTACATTGAAGATATATGAAAAAAACTGTTATAAGGGACATTTATAAGCGTAATAGAATACAAAACAATGATTTTTAAAGTTTTTGTCTGTTTGTCTGTTTGTCGGTTTGTCTGTTTGTCTGTGCGTTTGTGCAAGATAATCTCAGAAACGGCTGAACCTATTTAAATGCAGTTTTCACTATTATGTTGCGGCATTCTTCCGTTAACATTTAGTGTAAGATTTATTTCAATCGGTTAACAAATAAAAAAGTTATGTCAATTTGAAGTGACGTGGTCGCCAAAATTGCTATGAAATATTTACTGTTTTATTAAATTTTCGTCTTTGATATAATGATCATCATCATCAACTCTTTCACAGCCAAACTGCAGGGCCTCAGGCCTTTGTATAATAATTTTTGGTCACACATCCCGTACACAACTCTTGCGAAAATTGCTTAGCAATAGCGATCGTGCGCAGCGGCGCATATCGGTAGCGCCACCAAGCTACGAATTAATATTGTCTAAAAAATGAAAATTTGTATGAAAACAAATAAAAAAATAAGATTCCAAGCTTTTGACTACTCGAAGTATGTTGACCTCATTTCTATATGGCCAATCATATTAAATAGGGTCCAGCTTATAATGGACGTGTGGTATACGATCACCCGAGTAGGAGAACAAGCGGAAAGAGCCTTCCGATGATGCAATTAAGCCTCGAGTAGTTTACAGTGAACGCATATTTTTATCAGATTAGGTTCACGTCGTCGTCGGGGCCAACGGAGGTGGTTGGCAGCCGGCAGTAAAGACAACTCGAGTTATATATATTTTTTCTCTTATTACTATTTTTTTATGTTAATACTCTTTTTTTTAACATACAAATTGCTGTAGATATGTACTTCAAAGTTGGTATTTTCAGTCTTCGCTGGAAACAATGGTTTATTCATTGCTCACAACACATATAATATTACGCGAGTCTGAGGATCAGTTCAGAGTAGCTCGGTGGCGTAGTGAATAAACGCCGAGGCTCACGATTGTAGTTGTTAAGCAACTTTCGCAAAGGTCTTTAACAGGATGGGTAACCAAAAAATATTATCTCAAGCAACTCCAAGCTTTGGAAGGCACGTAAAGTGATTGGTCCTGGTTGAATTTTCAGTCGTAATATCCTCCAATTCGCATTGGGTCAACATGGAGGGTCGTGGCCCATCCTCCTTAATCCATAAGGCTCCTGCAGTTGGTGACGTAAAAGAGCTGATGATGATGATGAGGGCCGTTCAAATCTGACGGAAGCTCAGTTAAGCACCTCTCGGAAGTATGTGTTAGTAGACGATTTCCTTCGAGTGTGGAAAGTCGAAATTAAAATATGTATATATTTTTTTATATCAATAAATAAAACTCCACGTATCTTCCTTCAGACATGTACCGACCCATTTTTATTGACAAAGAAAGAGATCGGACGGAAAGCGCTCGGTCTCGGGAGATACCTGAAAAACGTGAAACGTATTTAACTGCCTATCGCTAGGCTCATGCACTATAAAGTTGAATCTGAAGCATTTACTGTCAGGGACAATCTCTTGAGCTCTCGGAGAACTCATACAACAAGCGTTTGATCTCAGAAAACTTCTGAAGATCGCATAGCGTGTCTAACTGCTGATCGTAATATACATGCAGTATGGTATGGGAATGAAACTTCCTTTGATAGAGAAATGCGCTTGGTCTCTGAAAGAGCTCGCAGTTTGCTCAATAGAAATCGAGAAAGTAGTTTCGATTATCGCCAACCCGTGTTGCATTCATACTCCACAGGCGTACCGCAGATAAGTTTTCACAAGGTGTAATGAACTAGCTGTCTTCCCGCGATTTTGCCGCAAAATTATAGCCTATGACATCCGTGATGTAACTTCCCGTAGATAGAATCGCTCTGAAACTATCGGTCCAGTAGTTTTTGGGCAAATGTTTGTTATTATTAGTATATCTTAGGTATAAGAGGTCCGATGGCGTTAGTGGGTTGGCGCATTCGATTTAAATTGCAGTAAAATAAATAAGTAAAATACTGCACAACAAGGACATACATGAATCCTTATTTTACGTTACTTAGTACAAACGACAAACTCATCGCTAGCAAGCGATTTCTTCCAGGCAACCTAGCATTACATGGAAAAAAGAACAATAAATAGCTGATTGTGCATACAACTAGACAAATAATAATCATTTAAAAAGATCAAAAACAAAAGAAGGACAGTTTCAAGGTATGAATAAAATTCTCAGACACAAACGACAACCAGAGCGCGAGAACAAGAAAAAAGATAGAAAATTACATTCGTAAGGACAGGATGGGTGACCAAAACATTATTATCCTGAGCACCGTGCACAACACTGGCACAATGTAAGTTAAGCCGTTAGTCCTGGCTGCATCAGTAACGTTAACACCCACCGATCCGCATTAAGCCCGCATAGTGGGTTATGGCCCATTGATCTTATTTGATTCGACTCCATCCATAGGAATAAAAGAATTCTATCAAAATACTTCCCATGCAGACGAAGTTGCGGGTACAGCTAGTATTAAAATAAATTATCATTGAAGCGCACCGGCACATAATTGGGGCTAATTGAATATATTTCAAAATATATCGCAATCCCTTTTTCCTTTAAAAGATATTGTGATAACGATTTATGGAAATATGTAAAACTTAAAGTGTCAAATGATTTTTTGAAAAGAATAATGATTTGAATGATTAAGCAATATCATAAAAACTTACCTAAACTCGTTCTAAGGTTGCAGTTAGCTTTCAACTCTTTCTTTCGATATTATTCAATAGCTTTTAAAGATATTTGCGTCTAACACTGGCCTTAGACAATGCTAATTAACGTCAAAATAACTATAACGTTAATTCAATATCTTTAAAAAAAAAACGTCACACACGACAAATAGTTGCAGCGTAAAATTCGTTAATATATTTCAAATTTCAAATTGAAAGGGATTGCGATAGATTTTTAAATATAACTATTGAACCGCGGGTTATAACAAAATTCAAATTTCAGCAATTAATTTTGGACTCATTTTGGATGTCATCAGATTTAGGCTCAAATTGTATTGGAGATTTGTCTTACTGCATGAGCTGTCGATTGTACTAGGATAATTAAACCGAAACTTGATTGTGATTGACTGTTTAAGAGCATTTTATTAGACGGGGAGCAAATCAAGGACTGTGACCGATATTATTGGTATGAATCGACTTTCAATGGGATTTTAACAATTCACTTGACAGGACTATTAAGGAAAGTTCATTGATGACTCATGTCATGTCTCATCCATGTAACTAGAATATTATAAAATTATACATATTTCAATAGTATGTCTGTGTTCGTATAAGGTCTATCTATTGCGTAAGAGTTTGAGTTAAGCTGAATAGGGATCTGACGACTAATCTGACAGACAGACTAAATAGAATTTCTTTTTACTCAGTTGTCATCACTATTTCTTCATTATAATCAGCCCATTTACGTTCCCACTGCAGGGGCTCAGGCCTTTCTTAACGATGGTTAAGGAGGATGGGCCATGACCCTTCACGCTGGCCTAAAGCGGATTAGTATTAACAGGGAGTAGCTCAAAATAATATTTTTTTAGTCCCCCATCTCGTGGGCGACCCTTGCGAAAGGCGCTTATTCACTATGCCACTATCTCGGTGGAAGGTGAAATTTATTATATCATACTATCCAATATAAAAATACACGCAAAACTGACCTTTGATAACTTTCTTAATGTACGGATCCAAATTGATGGTAAAAGGTAGGAAAATCTTGAGGTCTGCTGCGGTGAGTGTCGAACGGTGGAAGCTCAAAAACACCTCCAGTTTACGTTCATCTCTATCTAATTCCATCAGTGTGCTGGCTTCTCGGAGATTGCTCATAATTGGTTTCACTCTAGATATAAAAGACAACGAAATGATTATATCGACAGTAGGGAAGATGACCCTGCTTTAGCCACTGCCCCCCTTTTGGCCATTTGGGATTTCAAAGCTTTCTCATTTTCATATAGGCAAATATACTTTATAATATTGAATAATAGCAAAGCACAATACCGTAAGCAATACCGTTGCCAGCGGCGATGTATAAAAGATTAACTTTTCCTAACTTCTTCTTCTTCCTAACCAAAATCAGATCACCTACCCTACACTTAGCGCACCTATCTCCATAACAGGAACTGTGATATCCAAACAATTAGTTAATTATTCAAAATCGACAAATTTTCGTACTAAGAGCACTTATCGCAATGCTAGTTATTAATACGTATACGTAATTAACAGTTTTAGTGACAGAACTGGGATAGAATGGACTTTGATCTAATGAAGTCAAACTTACACAATATTGAGAGAATAGAAGAACAAATAGTGTTGATACTTTCTATCTAGAACTTCCAATCAATGGTGTTTATAAAGTTATATTTTTAAATTATGTGCATTATCAGGACCTCTTAGAAATAATTAGAAGAAAATACATTACTACATAATCTACTTAATCATGGGGTTGAATTTACATACTTTTCGTAGATATGTTTGAGCGAAGTGGAGTCATCAATATGTTCCTCATAGGTCTCGTGGTGGTAGATTATCCAGGAGGTGCGGAATGGCCACTGCTCCGTTAGATTAACCCAAGACGCCAGCTGGTACCAATTGAACTCTATTTGGAATGCTTTCAGCAGACGACCTGTACAAAGAATATATATTATTACTATCTCAGCCGGCGAACTTCATACAGCTATATTTTATTTATCTAATCGCATCTGAGGAAATATAACCCTTCCGGTAAAATAGGAAAGAAAAGAAATATTATTTATTATTAGACCTTTCCATTACAACTAACCTTTATTTAATTATCATTTAAACTAAGAATAAGCGAGATATTTAGATTATTAATATCATTGTTTAAGTCCGTATTTTACTGTTTCGTGAAAATAACACGGCTTTATGAAAAAATAACAAAACTTCAAAGCCGATTGAACCGAATATTGAACCGAAAGGCGACGTCAAAAATTTAGACATTGTGTTTTTTTTTATACACGTGATTTGGTTGAAGGAGGGAGGGAGTAGTCTTAAACCTCACTTAAACAGGGGGAGGGGAGGGGGGAGGGTGTCAAAAAATGATGAAAAAACATCACGTGATTAATGGACGGCCCCTTATCTATAAACTCACCAGTGACATATAGCACGTTCATCAGCCGTCGCATACTGCGCGGATTGACGTCACTAAAATAATCATCGGTCAGTAGTACTCTACTCAAATCGGCGGCACCGGCTGTCGGCGCGGCCGCTCTATGCAATCCCGACGCTACCGAAGACGCGACGGATTCCGAGGGGCGTAACCGACGGGCTCTTGCCGCTTGTACGCTACTACTCGGTACTTCCTTCACAGATTGGTTCTTTATACGCTCCTGACTCGACATCAGCTCGGAAGTGGAGGATAGGCGGCGGGCTGATACCTGAGTGGCGAAGTTAGCGCATTTACTAGTGAGAGCTTTATGATTCGTATGTAGTTCTTGATATTTTTGAAAACATCAATTTTTACACACTTTATATTACACAATTGACATACCTTAATTCACAGTAGTTTTTTATTGTTTTTTTTGCGAATGTGTTTGCATAATTTTGAAATTATGGATTAAAAATTCTGAATTATTATAGTTTGCCAATAAAGGGTCTATTGTTTAGGGCATCAGAGGACTTGTTGTATTTTATTCAAGTTTACCTTGACTGTGAAAGCGTTTTGATTTTATTGTAGAAACCAGCAAAGTGTCCAGCCAGGTTATACAGAACTTTCAAATTTAGTGTCGTAATTTTAAAGTTCAAAATCAATTGCACAAATTTGAAATATTTGACATGCAGTTGTGTGAACATCAACAACATTAAAAAAATAAATCCATGTTGACTAAAAATTATCAAGACAAAACTACACATCTCATCTTTTTGAAGTAACCTCAATAACGACTTTTATATATTATAAAAATATCTCACTAACAGATCTTTGCAGTGAGGTGGAGAAGTCGTCAGCGGCGATTGCTTGTATTCGCTTAGCGGCGGTTTGTTGTGCAGACTTCACGCGTCGCAAAGCAGAATTCTGCAGGTAGAACGGCAGCTGCACCATATTGCGGAGATAATCCCAACCGCCGATGTTACTCTCAGAAAACGCACGTCGACTGTTTACTTCCACTGCCTGTGCCGGATTTACGGAAACGTGACGTCATTCTTATTATAAAACGAGTACCTATTTTTTACACTTTATTTACTATCCGACCAATATAAATCAACACGGCTCAATTTGACAGTTTTCTCTTCTGTCATTGTCAATTTACTTAACGGTTAATGGTCTAAACCAGTTTTTAACATTGGTCCTCGTTTTGTAATAAGACTGATTATGTTTTGTAGATGCTAGTATTTTGTTTCAGACATAATGTAACTTTTCCGAGGGTGGGAATTTAGATGTCTGTCTGACTGTTTGTCCTTCCGTCACAACTAATTTGCTACGAAAGTATTAAACCGAAGTATAGAGTGAAACTCAAATAAATTAATCTCGAATAAAATATGGATAAAAAGACAAAAACCAACACCTCAACATATGTCAACCCAATATTTTAATAACCTGTAATATTTACAAGAGCACATAGAAGAAAATACAAACCATAAACAATTGTTCATGCAATAGTAAATGATAATAAAAATATACAATACTGACTAACGACGATTTTAAATGCTCATGCAAACATATACCATCACATAAACATATATATCGTTCCAATGATTCTTATATTGTTGTCATTTTCAAAATGACATTAAAACATGACGATGGAAATATCAATAGACAAATGGCATAGCAATGTTATTGAACGTCAAATGTGAAAATATATTGAATTGTCTATGGTAAGTGGTAATCAATATTATTCATTTGACAATCGATTCAATTTGTAGAAATATCACTTGTCTAGAAACGGAATAATTGTGGATTTATGAAACACAATATCAAGCCAACAGGGTACACGGCTGACGTATAACTAACCTCCATCCAAGCAACCTGCACATAGGTGAAGCATGTTAAATCTAGTATTATCAATAGAGAAGTTTCGATAGTAAAAAATAAGTTACAACATTCATTTTTTTAATAAGTTTTCAATTGAAATAATCATAGTAAAATATGATTTTAACATAAAACAGAATGATTATAATTTTAACTAAAATTAAAAGCAGGGTTATAGTTATGGCCTGAAACGCGACACGCCATGGTGTGATTTCGTATCGGCAAAAACATTTTTGCATTTGTCATAATATGTATCTTAAATAATAGTAAATAGCTACCTATTTATTTTGTAGCCGATCCCTAGATGGCACTGTTTTATTATCTTATTTATATCTTTTTATTTTGTAGAAAGATACTTATATGGCCCTGTTCTTGTATGATTGGTATCTTTTAGTCTATTGCGTCAGTTTTGTGTTTATACTAAAAAGATGTCATAAAAGTGAGGTGATCGTTGAAAACGTTTACATGGATACAAAAAATTACATTTGCCGAAATATTTGTGTTTTATTTAACTTTTAAATCAATGAGTACTTTTTTAAACAGAGTAGATAGCAGCACAGTCCATTATTAGATCATAGTAGATGAGTCTACTTGAAAGAATTTGCAATCAACAAAGTAATATGTGCATCCATTGTTATATTTTATATTAGGATCAGTCGATACATATTTGAGATTGCGTGTGTCGTCGATATCCATTATTTTCATTATTTATTTTCATTTTTTTTTCATTATTTTATTTTCATTTTTTTCCATACACCAAACTGACAAAATAAATGAAATTGAACTTTGATTATACACTTGATGAATGACCCGATGCGTCCTAATGTATATTCCTGTGAGTCACTTTACGGATTTTCCGTCAGGTACCGACCCTTAAGATTACATATCATGAATACCACCTTACTTATTGATAATTCGTGTAGTCAGAATTATCAATAAGTAAAATTACTATAATGTAGTTTTAGATTTCAATAGAAATAGATTTAAATAAGGTAGAGCTAGTTTTCACTGCCCATGGCTTTGATAAAAAATCCTAGATACAACATCACCTACAATATTGCCTATACATATTTTGAAATCCATTAATTGAAGATTATTTAATCAAAAATAAGCTCTACATTAATTGACTTAACGACAGAAACAAAACCATTTTAATACAACTTATTGCGATGTGTCAATACCTCATTCCATTTGAATACTGAAATTATATTATTTATGCACTTTTGATAGAGTAGTTGGGCCTGATTACAACTCACCCACCTCCACCTCGCTAAGTACTTATTGATTCTTATCATTATCGACGCTTTAAACTCGTTAGAATGCCGACGCAATCACATGCGAATGTGAAACATTAGCAAAACTATTCGAATGCGAAGGGTTGTCGCCATTTGTGAAAAAAATCGTGATATTCGAATAGTCATCAGAAATCAGTTTCTGATGGCAACCCTGAGTGCGAAATGTGACCTTTGACTGCGAAACCGTACTGATAAGGACGCAGCTATTTCATCGAGCTAATAATAGAGCAAGACAAAGCATATACGTAACATTGCCATTCAATTGACAAGATTTCGCAAATTTTTCACATTCGCATGCGATTGCGTCGGTGTACTAACGGGCGTAATGCATGTTATATGTATCTTGGATTATTTTATTTTAAGCACTACTGAAATAGCTTTTAGTTCGGTACTCACTTTACTAATGATATGCGGGTCGATTGCCAACAGAAGTATGAAAGGACTCTTCGGATCTGAGCAGAGAGCGTGTACGGCGTTGAGCAGAGCCAACACTTTCTCTTGCTCGCAACTGTCAAGAGCATCCACGACGACAACCAAGCGGGTCTGCTGACCGGTGAAAGCGTCTAGACAGGAAACCTGAATACATAGTTTCATAATCATAAATCAGAATAGTTTTAGGTTATGTTTTACCGACTAATAACAGATGAGTTATAACTGAATTCTCTTGAATTTCACCAATAAATCAATAAGCTAGAAGGATGTAAACGTATGGCAATCAATCTTGTTCTGTATTTATTTATTATTCTTTATTTAATATTCTCTATTCTGTTCTTACAGTTTGTTTTAAAACAAAAAATACTACATTGCTCAGATATAAGTTACCATTTCAAACATATTTCATAATTTATTGTATAACTATCAATTAGTCAAATATTATCCTCACCATATGCGTGAGCGCCTGTAGTTCCGGACGTAACGCGATCGTGGGCGCGTCCCTCTTCAACGCCCGCGCTAGTCTCGTCCTAGGTGGCAGCACTAGAGCGGCCAAAACACGGCCCCACGTATACAGATTCGCTACTAACACCAGACCGGCGAGTGCGCACGCGCCGATCATCACGCCCTGTTGGATTTCACGCCGTCTAAACGACGACGGCACTTAGAGCCGTCTGATTTTTACACTATCAAACGATATATAATAATGCGACGACGATGTTATAATAGAAGGCTTGAGAAAAGTCTCACACATCAAGCCACGTTTGGCAAGGGTCACCACCACACAATCAGTGTATGTTGTCAGATAGTCAGATGCAGTAATGCCAACATAAGACCCATTCTCTTAGTCATTAAGACTTATGACAAATAGCTGACTCATAGTACTTTTTTATTATAGAATTTTAAAGTACGTATTGAGTCTAATATGTTTCGAGAACGCACAAACCACTCAATAATTATAAAAGATAGTTAAAATAATATCTAAATATTTTGATTACCCTACTTATTTTTAAGTTAGAGAAATATCATAAGACGATATCTTACGGATTATCGGCCGCATTGTCCGTGTAATACATGATGAGTACGCAGAGTCCGATCAGTATGCATGTGAAGCACACCTCGAAAGTCACGATGTGTGGGATACAACAAACTCGCCGCCATCTAAAGTGAACAATTGATACATTATACAATTTATCTAGGCAGATTTAGTTTAGCTATTTATTATAGAGCCAAACTGACTGATTGAAGAGGCATCTCAAGACGACACAAATGGTGGTCCTATTACTAACAATCTAAAATTAACGAATAATTTGTTCTTCTAATTTGTATATTTGTGGTTTCTTCAATATCCAGTTAAGATTCTAAATAAATAAGCATATAAAACGTTAAAGTTTAAATTCTAAATCCTTTCGTCTTAAATATTTAAACAACATAAAAATAATAATTAACAACTGCTCCACCAGAAACAGCACCGTTAATTTTCATTTATAACCATTAAGTAACCATTAAGGACGGTAGTTGAAGTGAGAACGTCTATATTTCCTCGGAGTCATAATCTATCTTAAATATATGTTTAATACTATAAATAAAATATTTCAAATGAAAGTAATTTGAATATTGTGATTCCCCTTTGCGGCAAATTAAACATCTCTCTGTTTCCATCGTTTCGCTTGCTCTTTCTCTCTCATCTTCCATCTTAGCTTTGTTATATTGTCGTAGTGTAATTAAATAAAGTTATTAATTAAAATCTGAAGTCTTTACTTATTCCGCTGCTGTTGTAAATCTAGCAGTTTTTTTATTTAAAAGACAATTTATTTTTGTTAAACAACTGCCGTAACATGAAAAAATGTCACACATTGGCATTACGGTATACTCACTTCCATCCAGAAGTAGAGGAGACAGGTTTAGGACGGAATGCCCTCGCGAGCCTAGTGCACACACGTCCATATTGACATTCCAGCGCTTCTGCCAAGCTGGCTATCATCTGCACAACCATCGCCTCCCCCTCTTGGCCAACACTACCTTTCATGCCCTCGGTGAAATGAAATCTGTTGACCAAACCCAAAATGTATATATTCATTACAAACAACTTGTTGGTACTTATTCTAAAAAAAAGTATCAATTTGATGTGAACGCCAACATCAACACCACGTCAGAGTTATTATTTTAGTAAAAGTCGCAATAAGGCTCGCAGTTGGCAGAGATAAAGTAATAGCCACCTTTACTTAGAGAAGAGATGATAATCATTGGATAGACATTTTAAAGTATTTTAGTTCCAAAAACAACAAAATGCAATCAAAGTGAAAGAGTGAAAAGAAATACAACTAAATAAGGATTTCCGCAAAATTGGTTTTAAAAAGGCATACTTTTACGAAAAAATAACCTAACACCCATGGTAATTTGAACATCCTCATTTTTACGTTCGCTGTCCCAGACACTCCATAATAGGAGGGTTTTAAGCACACATCTTGGAATCTGAGCAATGTATGTGATGTTCTCTAATATTTAAATTTGATTATATTTGCCGGATTCATACAGTAAAATTACAATTAGAATAAATTTACCTTATAGGTGTGGCGGGTAGTGCTCGAGGATCGTTTGGTCCGGGCGGATGACAGAACACAACTTGTAACACAAGCAGTAAAGAAGCAAACTTCTGACCGAGTGTTGTTGTAACACCACTGGCCCACCACCATTCATACCTGAACATAAATGGTTCAAGAGATCGTTGAAACAAGTACCTTACATTGCGTACACGTTATATCTATAACTCGGACAAATTAACATGACACCTGAGGGACTATTATATATGTCTTCGGAACGAAAATTTGGAAAACATTCTTATAATTTTATTACTACCAGATTCATGAAGATTATCTGTGCATCAGAGGCAGTGTTAGGTCTTACCTCCGTTGCATCATTAATAGTGACGATGCTTGGGTAAAAAAAGAAATGCTATTTAGTCATTCAGTCAGATAACAGGAATATTTTAGATGCGTATTTTTGCATCGATTTAATAAGAAACGGTGGAGTTGAGAGTGGGGGCTCGCACGGATACACAAAAAAAAATGTCATCACCCCTGTTGCTGGCACAACACAAGTAGATAAAGAAATAATGTAATGTTTTCGACACTCAATTGTTTTTTATTCTATGTTCTGCATGTCAAGGAATAAAAGCCCATTATATTTTTTCTATCTGTTTTTTAATAACTAATTCATTCTAATATCAGCAATAATCTACAGTCCACCTAAGAATCGTACATTGGTCCATCTCACCGGTAAGAATTAAGTTATATATAACAAACAGCAAAAGAGAAAATACGTTTCGTTCAAATCTCCAATATCAAGCAATGTTGCAAGAAAAAACGAAACGCAAGGGTACGTACTGATATGCAAGCAAAAGACCAAACTGTGCGAATTTCATTGTGATAGTTTATTGGCGCAATTTAGAGATACAAGAAAAAATCGACCAATAAGCGGCCGGTGCGGCACGGTCGAGCGGCAACGGTCCAGCGTGCAGCGAATCAACGATCAGTTTTCTTCCCTACTCGCCGGGCGGAAGTTCCGTCTGCAATTGCAAAGGCAAGCGAAAGGAAGCGTCTTTTGAAGCATTTTTGTGGTCAGAGTTTAGTTGTGAAATAGCTATTTTTTATTATAAAGTGAAAGTGCAAAAGTGTAACATCGTTATATTAGGAACTATAAGGTGTTTAAATCCTATTACTCTTGGAGCTATATTATTTAAGTGATATTCGTAGTCTACCCAATTTTGTAAGATTTTATAATCTCGTGTTCGTTAGTATTTAAAAATGGCGGATGCGCAAAAAAAGCTAATTGCAAGCCGGGGCTACGCAAAAGGAGCAATAACAAGGATTTACAATTTTACCTTGAATAAGGTTGAAGTTGAGAGTACCAGTAAGGAGACCCTGATAATAAAGCGGGATAGATTATTAGCAATGTTCAAAGAGTATGAGCGATGCCATCAAGACATTTTAGCTTATAATACTGAGGATACTGAAGACATATCTGTTATAGAAAGTCACTATTTTTCTAGTCTATCTGTTCTAAATGATGCAATTAAAAGGTACTCTAATTGTGTACAACAAGAAAATAATTTGGAGTCAGGTAATGACAAAAGTAACAATAAGGTTAAATTGCCTTCTATTAATGTTCCTATCTTTTCTGGAAAATATTCCGACTATATTAATTTTATTGAAATGTTTAAATCAGTCATTCATAAGGACAGAAGTTTAGATAGTGTACAAAAATTGTATTATTTACGTTCTTTTTTAAAAGACCAGCCTTATGATTTAATAAAAAATTTACCTCTATCCAATGATAGCTATAATAATGCACTGGAGTTATTAAATAAACGTTATTATAATAGGTACAAAATTGTAACAGAACATGTAAATACTTTACTAGATTTAGAAAAATTACCAAAGTTTCCAAAAGCTAATGATCTGCGACAATTTATTTCAGTTATTAGCCAAACATTAGCTGCATTAAGAAACATGGATTCGGCTGTGGAACAATGGAACCCCATATTATTGGGTGTTCTTACACGTAAGTTGGACATCTACAGTGCTCGTTCATATCAATTGGAGCGCAATCAGGAAAAAGATCCAACAATTGATGACCTATTGGATTACTTAAGCAGGCGAGCGCTTGCAATGGAAAACACTGAGCCGGAGATGCCTGAGACCAACAAACGTCTATCTACAACAGCGTCCTACAATAAAAAGGTAGTTTTGGCAGCAACAAAGGCAGCACAGCAGTGTCTATACTGTAAGTGTTATGATCATAAATTATATTTATGTCAAAAATTTAAATCATTGCCAGCAAGTGAAAGGGTTGATTTTGCAAAGCATGAAAATTTATGTAAGATATGTTTACATAAACATGTAGGTAAATGCAAGTTTCACTTTAGGTGCGAACAATGCAAAAATAATCATAACACATTGTTGCATTTTGAAAAAACTAATCCAGTAGTTTTATTATCTGGTAATAAATCAAATATGAATGCTTTAATTCCAACAGCACGAGTGAAAATCTATGCAAAAGATGGAACAGAGGTACATCTTAAGTGTATTCTAGACTCTGGTTCTCAAGTGTCTTTAATTACCACTAAGGCAATTAATGTCCTGGGGTTGACACCTCAACAAACTGATATAAGTCTATTTGGTGTCACAGAAAGTGAAAATAAAATTAAATATTGTATTCCATTAAAAGTTCATTCTTTAACCTGTGCATTTAATACTATTATAAATTGTAATGTTGTGGACAGAATTACATGCAATTTACCACAAAAACTTTTTGACACAAAGGATATAAATATTCCTCCTGGTGTCACATTGGCAGATACAACTTTCAATCAACCATCTGAGATAAATATGCTGATTGGTGTGGATGTCTTTTTTCAGATTCTCCTGCCGAATGAAGATTTTGGGGAGGAATCATCTGCAAGCAATTTTAATAAGTATTCACCGTCAACGTCACCACATATAATTAATACATGTTTTGGCCACATTGTTGCTGGGACTTGGGTTGGAAAGTGTAATCTTCTAAAAAATAAGGTTGTATCGCTTCTCTGTACTAAATGTGACTCTGATATTAGTAAGTGTATTAACAAGTTTTGGGAGGTAGAGAGTGTGCCACAATTATTATTTGAAAAGAATTCAGAACAGGACTTAGCTGAAGATATTTTTAAAAACACAGTTAAATTAGAAAATAACAAATTTCAAGTTGATCTGCCTTTGAAGGTGGAACGCTGCAAAATAAATGAGATATTAGGTAACTCATTTGATCTAGCTTTACATAGGTTTCTTAGTTTAGAGAAACGGCTACAAAAAAGTGGCAATTTATTAAAGGAATATCAAAAATTTATTGATGAATATATAGAGCTTGGTCATGGACATTATATAGATATTAACTCATATGATTTTACTAAGGATCCAATTTATTTTCTGCCCCATCATGCTGTAATAAATTTACACAGTAAGACTACACCTGTAAGGGTAGTGTTTGATGCATCGATGAAAACAAGTAAAAAGGTTTCATTGAATAATATTTTATTGAACGGTCCAATAGTACAAAAAGATTTATTTGACATAATTTCACTGTTTAGATTTGGAAAATATACATTAAGCTCAGATATTAAAAAAATGTTTCGCAATGTTTTGGTTAATCCAGAGCACACTTCACTACAGAATATTCTATGGCGTCAAAATCCAAATGTGCCCCTTCGTTGTATTCGTTTAGATACTGTCACATATGGTATGAAGCCATCAAGTAGCTTAGCCACACGCTGTTTATATGAACTTGCACAAAGGCATGAGCACAAATATCCTTTAGCTTCTTTTATTTTAATGAACTGCTGTTATGTTGATGATGTTTTATATTCATGTTCAGATTTGCACAAAATGCTTGAAGCTAAACAACAATTGCGTGAAATATTAAGTTATGGTAGCTTTAATTTGCATAAGTGGGCTTCTAATACACCTGATATTTTGTCTGATATTCCAGAATGTGAGCAGCAATTTACAATGTTTGATCTTCAAAAGGATAGTTATAGCATGAAAGCTTTAGGTTTGAAATTAGATGTAAAAAAAGATTGTTTTATTATAAAAGTACCAAATAATTTTAACGTTACTAAGATTACAAAAAGAGAGGTTCTTAGTTCAATATCTAAGTTCTATGATCCTATGGGATTTATAAGCCCAATAATAATAGGAGCAAAGGCTATTATACAAAAAATTTGGTCACATAATATTGGTTGGGATGAGGTATTACCTAATAAGTTAGCAGAAGAGTGGCTACAATTTTCAAATAGCTTGCTTGAAATGGAGCCTATTAGCTTACGACGTCACATACCAATCGAGGGTGCAATTTCATTGCAGCTTACAGGTTTTGCTGATGCATCTAGTAATACTGGGTACGGGTGCTGTATATACCTACGCGTGGTCGACAGTACAGGTAACGCTGAATTGCATTTACTCTGCTCAAAGTCGCGAGTTAATCCACGTGCAAATCCATTAACGATACCTAGATTAGAGCTTAATGCAGCATTATTATTATCTATTTTAATGGAAAGAATTTATGGAATTTTACATAATAATATAAGGATAGATAATGTGTATTTATTCACAGACTCAGAAATTACTTTAGCTTGGATTAGGACTGAATTAACCAAACTACAGGCATATGTAGCAAACAGAGTGAATGTAATTCGTCAAAAAACTGATAAATGGTCTTGGCTATATGTACCATCTTTAAGTAATCCTGCTGATTTAATTAGCAGAGGTATAAAACCACAAAAACTTCCAAATTGCTCCCTCTGGTGGAAGGGACCGGAGTTCCTTCAAAGTAACTACAGTTTTGATAATGAAATAGATTTTCCTGAGTTAAAGACGGTCAAGGATACCAAAAGCAAGGTAGTGTTAACAACTGTTGTAGATAGTAATATATTTAAGTTTCTTGAAAAATATTCAGATTTAAAAAGGATGACACGATTATTAGCTTACGTATGTAGGTTCTGTCACAATTTAAAAAGTAATATAAAAAATAAAGATAAGATATTATCAGCAGATGAACTACTTCATGCTTTGAATTTAATTATTAAATATGAGCAGTCAATTTATTTCTATGATGAGTTACAGTCATGGCGAAGAAAAAACTGCATAGAAGGCTCTTTAAAAGCTTTGCATCCGTTTGTAGATAATGATGGTTTGATTAGAGTAGGTGGACGGTTAGATAATGCGGATATTCCACTCTCACAAAAACACCCCATAATTCTACCAAAAAAATCACGAATCACGGAGTTAATAATTCGTGATGAACATATTCGATTGTTACATGTAGGTCCTAAGTCACTTTTAGCTAATTTAAACCAAAGATATTGGTTAGTAAATGGTATAAGGCAAGTAAAAAAAGTACTACATAAATGTATGACATGTTTTAGGCTCAAGGCTAATGCAGCGAAGCAGTTAATGGGGTCCTTGCCTCAACACCGTGTGAGGTCTTGTAGACCATTCCAAAAGGTTGGCATTGACTTTGCTGGGCCAATTCAAGTAAAAAATTCTAGAATAAGAAAGGCTTTGGTCACTAAGGGATATGTATGTATATATGTTTGCTTTGTAACAAAGGCTATCCACTTGGAATTAACTTCTGATCTTTCAACAGAAGCTTTTTTAGCTTCTTTTAAGCGTTTTATTAGTAGAAGAGGTTTGCCCAGTGATGTATTTTGTGACAATGGCGGTTGCTTTCGAGGGGCAAGGAACCAACTAGCTGAGTTGTATAAGCTTCATAATACAGTTAGTCATCAGACGTTAGTGCAGGGATATGCTGTTAAAGAGGGTATAAATTTTCATTTTACACCAAGCTATGCTCCAGTTTTTGCAGGCCTCGCAGAAGCAGCTGTAAAGAGTATGAAATTTCATTTAAAAAGAATAGTTTTAAATGCTTTATTAACATTTGAACAATTATGCACAATATTATGTCAAATAGAAGCTGTGTTAAATTCGCGCCCAATATTGCCCCTCTCCCAAGATATAAATGACTACTGTTATCTTACTCCAGGTCATTTTTTAATTGGGACAGCTCTTATTATGTATCCAGAAAAAGGTTTTTCTCAAACTGTAACTAACAGGTTAGATTTGTGGCAACAATGTACTCAGTTGAAACAAAGGTTTTGGAATGCTTGGCATAAGTACTATTTGAATGCTTTACAAAATAGGAATAAATGGTTTAGAAGTATGCCTAATGTTGCAGTAGGCTCTTTAGTAATTATGAGAGATGCTGGTACTGCTCCTTTCGTGTGGCCCATGGCTCGTGTAGTTAACGTGTATCCTGGAAAGGATGGTAGGGTTAGAGCCTTACAGTTGAGAACGGCTGATGGTAAATTATATGATCGGTCATTGCAGAGCATAAGCGTTCTGCCAATTGAATAAAGAACATAATTGTTTTTGTTAAGTATGTGTACTTTAATTTTTTTGCCTGCTGTGTCAGTTAATAGGTATAGGATATGTTTATAACTTAAAAGGAAGTGTTTTAGTTTAAAGGAAACTGTTAGTTTAAAAAAAAAAAAACATGTTTTATCTTACAAGCTCCATAATATTACTTTGTAAAATAATTTTTATAACAACATGTTATTTTATGTTGCAATGTATGAATATTATTTATTTAAGTATCAGTAAAATAAATACTTATGATTATTAGTTATGTTTAGATTCATTACTATGATTATAACAAAATATTAGTTAATAGTAATTTAATTTTAAGTTAAATATTTTGATTATAAAATGAATATTTTGATTATTTCTGGTAACTTAAGTAATAATTATTTAATGTTAAAATAAAATAGCTTTTTCTGGGGCCGCAGCATGTTGCTGGCACAACACAAGTAGATAAAGAAATAATGTAATATTTTCGACACTCAATTGTTTTTTATTCTATGTTCTGCATGTCAAGGAATAAAAGCCCATTATATTTTTTCTATCTGTTTTTTAATAACTAATTCATTCTAATATCAGCAATAATCTACAGTCCACCTAAGAATCGTACAACCCCTATTATTTTGTATTTGTAATACAAACGCAAAGGACATATCTATTTCAACGTCGTTGTTCTAAAAAAACCTTAAAAAATATAGAGAAACCCAGCGAAAAAGAATAAAGTCATCTGGGTTTTTTAGTTTACACTTCTGAGATAAATAACAATCTAAAAATATCTGCTTTCATTATAGATCATCTATCATCAACAAATGGCCATAAATAGATTAGTTGGCAAGAAAACAATTGTTTTTAAATTGATGCGACGGACGCGTTACACGCGCCACAGCTAAACATAGGGTGGATTTTCGATAATAGACAATGAAGGTACTTAAATCGTTATAGTTACAGGAAAATGTTCTAGGGAGATTGTTAAATTTTTAAGATGTTCGAAATATAATTCACAGAATTTGGAATAAATTATTGTCAGCTTGCATGTAGGAAAGATGGTCCGGATAGCATATTAATCTAGGTTACAAGGAATCCAGTTTAGCAAATGCCGATAATTTTTCAGGTAATCTTCTTTCGGCTTATATGTATTAACGAACACCAATTTATGAATATTTATTGTAAAGAATCAAATCAAATTTGATCAAGAATATTATAAAATTATGATTGTCAAGGAAGCAAATGGCTCTTGACTAAAATTATGTAAAAATTATATTAAGTTTAAAATTTGCAGGCCAGCATTTTCTCGGGTATAAAAAAAGTTGAAATTTTGATTTTGAAGACAAGAAAACTTGTTTACTTATCCGAAATATTTGTTTACAAGTTTTATTTAAAACAGAGTAGAATACCCTTTTGTTGTATTTCGCAACGCATACAAAGACCCCTAAAAGAAAGAGGGCCTTAAAGCATTTTTCCTACAATAAACGAAGTCTCACCTGTTGCCCGTGTACCACAGCACGTATAGCGCCATATATATGACGGCGAAGAGAGCGAAACATACTGCCACCGCCACGTACGCGGGCGCACCGGCGGTCGCGGTACAGGCGGCCACACCTAACGCCGCGTGCCACGCGCCCCATGACACCGCCCAAGACCAAGCCCAACCGGTCTCGCTCCATTGGCGAGCGAAATTCTTCATCTCCTCTATAGATATTTAAACAAAAACTATGACAGCCGATAAAACTACTCATTTCGCTGTCTGATACAAGTCTTTATATCTATCACCAGCTTTTGAACGTCTCCAACGCACGGGGCTCAGGCATTCCTTATGGTAAAGGTGAATGGGCCAGCCCTTCACGCTGGTCCAATGCGAATTGGAGTATTAACGACTGAAAATACAGCCAGGACGTTGGTCCCTTGACGTGCCTTCCGAAGCACGGAGTAGCTCAAGATATTTTTTTTATGTAGCATCGACAGAATTCATTTCCGTAGGAGAGAGCAAATGAAAGCCATTACATTGGCACGTGTACGGTCAGCGAAAGAAGTGGTCTACCAGTTTAGACATAATATCGTAAAAAATGTATAGATTATTTCACTGTCAAGATGATAAGCGCAATATTATTCCCGCTACGAAAAACATTGTCTGATTCGTATTAATTTCGGAATACTATGAAAGTTCTTTTTAATACATGGAATTAACAAGAAATGAATTTTTAATGTAATGTAACTTTTAGTCGACTTTTAACTGGTATTCTTAATTTTTTTTAATCAACTGATTTTGAAGAATATTGATTGAATGGTGTTAAACAAGATGGTCTCACAAAAATTCATTAAGTTCGGATCAGTGATTTGTTTATGACACCTCGTTTTTAACAAAACATATTTTTAAACTATGTATTCTAATATGAATTTTTAGTTAAATGCACCAAATACATACTGATTTGCTGTACAAAAAAAAAGGAAATCATAGAACATGTATAAGTGTTAATACATATAATTTTAACTTACCTTTGAGCTTGTTGAGCAAAAAAGATTTTCCAGAACCCCAGCGTGCATACAATCCGACCGTTATAGGCACGGACAGACTCGGTTCGGACAACATGTCCGCTAACGCCGCGCTGTACAATTCGTAACCCAACATGTTCTCGTTGTCCTCGTTAGTATTCAACTTGCGAGCACCGAATATTTGACCCAGTATAGTCTTGTTGTAACTCATGTCTATGTTATATGGAGTTTCGTTTTGCTTATTAGGCTTATATAATAATTGACTATTTTTAGGATTCCTAAGAAGAATTTCTACTATTTGCTGAAACAAAAAAAAAAAAACATTAATTAAAAATTCTGGACATTAACAAAACATACAATTTGTAATAATTATTTCTTATAAATTATCAACTTTTTTTTACTTAACAAGTCTTCTAAATTCAATTGACTGAATCGGTTATTGAAATTTCAAAAATACCAGACTTAATTCACTGCTGACAGAGATTAGAATTTTAATTTGCATAAGTAAATTACACCAGATTTTCAAATAACTCGACGGCATCTGTGACGGCAGTAAAGTTGTGAATTATATTTTTTAAAATAATTGGCAGTCACTCAATGCTATATATTGATATTTATTTTATAGAAATAAATTTAAAAGGCCAACCATATAAGATACTGAAATCCCATCCTTATATGATGCCGTATAAGGACAGTATTCGAACTCAGTACGAAACCCAACTTATATAACAGTTGGCGACCAACAAACCTTCTTAGACCGTATTTTTAAATTATATTTTTTGTACTTAATAAAAAAAAAACATTGTACACGCTTATTTTTATAAGTCAGTTGAAAGGCTCTATATAAGCAAATTTTTTTTTACTGTTTTTTGTTTGGCCCCTAATACTAACAGATGCGTTTTGCAGATGAGATTGTCGAATTTCTGTGTAGTATATTTTCATATTTAAGTGATCCACAAACATCAAATAAAGAAAAATTTTCTCTTTCAATTATGATAAAGATATATAGATAGAAATTTCAATGAAAGAGAATGAAAGACATATATACCTTAGACCGCGCCCTCATAGCTATATGTAGCGCGGTATCGCCTCGATTATCGGCAACATTGACGCGCGCCTTCCGTTCCAATAACAATTGCACCATCTCCGCGTTGCGAGAACGAACAGCACGCATCAACGGCGTATCACCACTCTAAAACAATCAATAATACATCATTAACACATTATAATACTCCTTCCGATGTCCAACAAATGCATAGTACTACCATTTTTGTAAGTAGCATGGCCAGAATATGTTTGCGCAGAAGAGAGCAAGCTAAAGCCGATAGATATCGGTGTACGGTCAGCAAAGAAAGTGGTCTACCAGTACACAGTACAAGGACCTTTGAGATTTAATTATCGAAAAGTACTTTTGTAATAGCGTTTAGATGCCCGATTGTGAGAATTCTCTATTTAATGTGGTTTGAAGTAATGGTAAGTGGAAAAGAAAATCGACTTTGTTGTTTCATGACAATTAAAAAAAACCTCAACCAGATTTTTGGCTGACTGCACCAATAAATAGATCCTCGAAATGTAAACTTTAATGTGTTACGTTAAGGTTTCAATCAGTGACGCATTAAAGGCCAACGAAAGGACATTATCGACGCCCCTTTCTCTACCGCATAAATCATATGCTTAATACATCTGAAAGTGAAACAAGAGGAAGTGGATGTTAACATGTACATACAACAGCAAGTAAGATTAACTCAAATGTCAAATTATCACAATTCCCTAAAAGCTGAGACTAGTCCTATAGACGAGATTCGTCAATAACATTTTATTACGAAAACAATAACTACTTTGTATTACATAACTACTTACAATAGTGGTATGCTCTAAGTCTGGGTTAGAAGCGAGCAGCAATTTCAATATGGCCACATGGCCCTTCTCAACGGCGGTATACACTGGAGTTTTTCTCTCTTTGCCCGGCAAATCTACATCGACGTGCTTCTTCAGAAGAGCTTCCACAATATTTTTGTGTCCACCCTTCACGGCATGAATTAGTGGAGTATCTTTTGAGTGATCCTAGAATAAAAAAAAACGCATTCCAATATTAATCTATTGGAATAAAATCTTACTTCTAATTATAAAAATATGTAACAATACATTCAGATTAAATGAATTAAATAATCACTAAAATACTGACATTTAAACAAACCAAATTATAGTTAGACAAGGAAAGAAATATCAAATTATTACATCACGCTATGGTAGACAAGAATTACAACAATTAAAAAAATATATATTTTCCAAAAAATTACCTGAACATTGATGTAGGCGCCAGAATTGATGAGTGCAAGTGCGATATCGTAATATCCTTCCTTACATGCGATAGCGAGGACAGTATAGCCGTCCTTGTCTAAAGCGTTCACGTTAGGCTTATGCTCTAGTAACATTTGGACTATTTCGAAGTGGTTCCCTAAAAATGAAAAGAATATAAAGAAATGAAAATTGTGGCTTGTGTATCCTTTTGTTGAAGTAAATTGATAAAATTATAAATAATAATGGTTGAAAAACATTAATGTGGATGAATTAACATTGGAACATTTTTTAATATAACATTATGTATAGAAAACTTTATAATGCAATCTAAGAATTTTAATTTTAATTAACGTTTAATTAACGCGATCAAACAGCAAAATCAATGAATAGTCAGGTCTGTTGTAAGTGAACAGGAAAAAGTAATGGATTTCTCTTTATAAGTTTGAATTACCTTCGATTTAGGCATAAGGATTTCTGTGTTTTCGAGTAATAAATAAAAACTATAAATTGACCACTAGCGCTTTATTGAATTGTGAAATTTAATACATTAGAGTGCGCGGGATTGCTACCATGTACCTTGTTTTTTGTTGTACACTCAGTACCTACCTTGCGCAGCCTGCAAGAGCGGTGTCCAACAGTACATGCCCGCTGTGTTGGGATCCGCGCCGGCGCGCAGTAACGCGGCGCACGAGGCAACGTCGCCAGCGCGCGCGGCCCACGTCAGCGCTGACGTACCGTACTTGTCGCACGAGTTCGCACGAGCGCCCGCTGCTAGCAAACGTTGGACCACTCCGCTGTGACGTCTCCCCGCCGCCCATACTAGTGAGCTGATTGACAAATAACTCGAGTGTGAGTAAAGTTGGACCGCTACGTTGACTTCAGCCCGCCGCATGGGCTAGTGAGCCAATTGATAAATAACTCGAATGTCATGAATAACGTTGGACCATCAAGCTGCGACGTATTCCCGCTGCCCATATTAGTAAGCTGATTGACAAATAACTCGAGTGACATGAATAACGTCGAACCACCACACTGCGACGTCTCCCCGCCTAATATCATGAACGCATTAGATCTTATTATAAAACGAGGACTGACTTTAGTACCAGGTGTGAACCATTATGCGACTAAACGTTTGACATTTTCTCTTCTGTCATTGGCAATTACTTTAACCGGCCAATGTTTTAAATTAAGTACTAACTTTAGTAATTGTTTTGTAATAAAACAATTTTAAAGGTTTCATGAAAAAAAAAATCTGTTACTTGTGAAAAAATCCAAATTTAAAGAGGGTAATTTGAAAAAAATACGACCATATAGGTATAATACTTCTTTAAGTTCTTTAGGTCAGGTAGATTGTTGAAAAATATTAAATACGTATTTTTTTTTGTAGTCATTAAATTACGCCGATACATTAAGTTAAAATGTCACATGACGTCACGCTTTTGTACATTTTCTACAAAACTGTGACGTAGCGAGCCCCCACTCCTTAAATATAATGCATGTTTACTAATAAGCAAAATCTTGTTAATTAGAATAAAAAAAAAACGTATCTAATATTTTCCTATTATCTAACTGACTAAATAGATTTTTTTGTACCCAGTCGTCCCTATTGCATATATTATCAGTGGCACTCGTTACAGCAATTATGTTGCGTTATCCTATCACTGACACTCCATTCGCAGCGTATAATCGACTCCATAAAAGATTATTTACGATAAACGTGACTGATAGAGATTCTTCTATTTGTCATAAATATTATCATACATAGTCATTTAGCACTTTTACAGTGATGTGTTTATGTGCAAAATGTACCGCGATCGTAAAACTTTAACGAGTCTACTAGCACTAATATGTTATGGTATATTAGACTTCCATTTTGAAAAGGACATTTATAATCAACGTGTGATATGTTTACGAGATGACACATATTTGTGGCGACATACCAGCAGATGCGCCAAGTAAATAATTATATTATCAAATTACGTTCGAACAGTGACCATATTCAATATTTTTTTTTCGAAGATTAAATCTGTATATCTGTGGCATATAGAGGAAGATTAAAATATTTATAAAATAGTACAAGTAATTTATTTGGAGACGGTCAAAATTCAAAAATTAACTGATTCATATTCATTTAAAAGGTTTGAGAATAAGGAGGGGGGGGGGGGGGGGGGTTATTGTAAATTCGCATATTATCTCGAATATATTCAAAACCATCAATGTAAAAATTACATATCTGAAAAAATTAAAAATTACAACCAAATCTATCTAGAAATATCATCGACAGATAAATGGAAAGACCGACACACGAGTCTCATAAGGGTTTCGTTTTTTCTTTATTTTTCAGTTACGGAAATTTAGAACAAAAAGTAACAAAGTTTATCATTAAATATCTTACTTGATGTTGTAGTTGCCATGAGCATGTACATCAGCGCCCTTTTCTAACAAAAGAGCCACCACATCCTCGTGACCTTTATAAGAAGCCCACAGAAGAGGAGTCCAAGCACCCTGAAAATTGAAATAAAAAAAAAAATAATGAAGCTAATAGGGTATTCGACACTATTAAAAATAAGTTGCGTGTTGTGTTCTGGTCTTGTCTCTTATGTATCTATCATTATACATATGGATATATTAACGAAACCCATTTAAGTTTGTTGGCCGTTCATTGATCCACTCGGTACGCCACATAGATTTATATATCTATGGTATGTATCCTCTACCTCCCCACTCCTCAAGTCGTTTTCCTCATTGCTTAGGGGAGACAGTTTTTCTCTTACGAGATTTCTCCATCTGCTCTTGCCCTTGCCAATATAGCGAGCGTCATGAAGTTTAGTGCCAAATATAGCGGCAACCTGGTCAGACCAACTCGTAGGGCTGCGACCCCTCGGTCGTTTCCCATCCACCTTGCCGGTAACCATTAGGTTTTCGAGATTGTCTCCATTCTTGCGAACAATGTGACCAAAGAAATCCAGAATTATTCGCAAGAAGATGGTTGAAAGCCCATCCTTGATGGTAAACTCGAGAAGGATGGATTGGTTTGTCCGGTATGCAGTCCACGGAATCTGTAGCTATCTATCAGTTGGGCTCGCAAATATGTCTTAGAGAGAAATTTAAAGAAATTTGAATATTTACGGTTGCATCTCAATTTATATATAGTTGTATACTTTTTGTCCGAAATAATATTAATGTGAATACCAAACATAGTGATGTACACAAACTTAACACTAGAAATAAAAACAAGCTAGTAATGCCTTCTTACAGGTTACAGAAGGTATTAGGTTCTTTCATGGGTCAAGGTATATAGTACTTTAACAAGATGCCCAGTGATGTATTAGATTTGCCAATAAATCATTTTAAAAGTCATATTAAAAATTGTCTACAAAGTAAAGGATATTATACCGTTAAGGAATATCTAAATAACAAAATTGCATGGTGTTAGATATTTTAACTTTATTGTATTTACTTTCTAATATTGTAATGGAAAGTGACTTCATATTCTAATGAAGTCACTTTTCAATAAGACTTCTCGGGACAAATATTTCATAAACGAATTTTATGAAATATTTGTCCCGTTTTTTAGATTTTTGTTTTCTTTCCTTTGTATGCAAAATAATAATAGTGTTCAAAATTTTGAGCCTGTGGGTCTGCTAGAAGTATCTTAGAATTTTGATGCTCTATGAGCCAGTCAGTGAGAAAATTAAGGTATTTTGAACTACATAATTCATAAAGAACATTTTCAAATTTAATGTAATTTGGAAATTTGCCTGGTTATGTGATGCCCTCTCGGTCACTGAAAATATAAGCTTCTAGTTCACTTCAAAACGAAATTACAGGGGATCAAAAATGGCTCGAATGGCTTCCAGAAAAGAAATGTTACGGGCGTGCTTTACTTTTTTGTTGTTACTTTTTTGGTCGACTTGGCAGGGCCACTCTCGTGCCCCTAGATCATATAATAATTGTGTCCATTACAGTCCTCATTCCCACTTGTTATTACATCTGTACGTATTATGATATAATAAGTTCACTGCTGTAATTTTACTAAGCATGTAAAATGTAGATTGATAGGATCTAAACACAGACTAAAGCGGTATTTCTAATAATAGTCGGTAGTAGTAACTTAAGATGAATGTTAAGAGCATTTATATTTGTTATTTGAACTTTATTCAGTTGCGGGTAGACTAACATAAGGTCTACGAATATTTCAGAGTAGGTAAAATTCATTCTATTCCATGCACCGCAAAGGAGAAGTTTTACTTTTTTAAATGGTTAGTAAACAAAATTGTAAATATAGATTTCAAGGCTACCCAGTTGGAACGATTTAAATTTTGTTTTCTTTGAACAACTGTTGTCCATCAACGTAGTCATTTACTGCAGTAAATCTTTCTACGATTTACGTAAAGAAAAGCTAATCATAGATTTTAATAGTAATAGTAAATTAAGAAATATAGTCTGACAGTTGAATTTAAATGATTATTAATAAATTATTGTGTTTCTCCAGTACTCAGAATCATATTGGCTGAAGTTTTAGAACTATGCCCTTATCTGTTAACTGCAAATCAACTTCGAAGCAAGTCCTTGGCCCTGAATATTCTAAAATACTTTAGAATTATTTTTAAACATGTGTTAGTGTGTGTCATGTCTTACTGTGTGTAGTTTATTATAATGTTTATGAAAGTTCAGATCTAAGTATCATCTATGTCAGTAATTTCAATCAGTAAGCATGGAGTATAATAGAAAATATAACATAAAATAAAGCAGTCAATATCTAGTTGACGATTTTTGTCTTTATCGATTGAGTGTGCAATGATGTTTTTATTACTATAGTTAATATTTTTTTTATTTCGTAGATTAGGTAATTTCCACATAAAGCCCCTATTATTGTGTGTATAAAACAAATCGTTTGTATCAAAAGAAAGAAAGTCAACTCAATATATAACTGAAAGAATATAACATTGTTTTGATTCATCATTATGATTCACAATAATAGCTTATGATCGTATATTTTAATCAGATTTAAGAATGTTCTGTTGTGGATGTCACTGACATCTTGGCAAGGATCCACTTCAAGTATAAATATATCTACTAATACTGAGTGCATAGTCCAGGAGTTGGACAAGTGTCTTATATATATAGGTCAATTTAACTATCCAAAGATAATAAAATAATTAATGTAATTATGATTAATAATCATTGTTCATACATCTATTAACTTCACTCTGCAACGTTGTACCTATGAATTTTGGAATTTAGGGAATACAACGTCACCATATTTTTTCTCCGTGTTTAACTGTCTGTGAACTCGTCTTAATAACGAATCTTTCGACCAATGTGCTAGGTGTCAGTCCTTGCGGGATACATCTTGGTTACATACATCTTTCACCTTATCCACGTTCATAACTTTTTTCATACATACTCCCCGGTTTTTTATGACTTCGATTGATTTGAAGTGCAACGAAGCATGCGATCGATTTGATCGCGAAAGGTAATGGTTGACTGTAATTTTAAAAGTCGGTTGTGACGTTCCGTGCCACATCTTGTAGTTAGTAGTAGATATATTTATAAGACTTTCTTTTAGAATATCATTGAAATTTCTAATACCAAATTAACTGAAACATAGCCAGTTGCACAAACGTCCATTAAAACTTTCATTAGTTTAAAGCGACATTACCCATACAAATTTTACATTCATTAGAGCTTACAGGCGTCATTAAACTTTAATGGACGTTTGTGCAACTGACCGACAATGTTTTAATATGACATCCCGTCACGCAATCCCTAAATTAGTAGTAAAAATATTGTTGATAAAAATTTAAGAACCGATTTACTAGCCAACAACACTATTTTTAAATCTTTTATATCTTTGTTTAAGTTATTTATTTTAGTTTTTATTACAATGGACCAGACATATTTACGCGCTATGTTCAATTTAGTTTCTGTTGTCAAATTCCATTATAGTATTCATAATGAACAAACAAACAACAATAAGGTTTTATAAAACCAACAATTATTTTTAAAGCCTGTAATAATCTAGAAGATTATGTACGTATTTGTAAAAACATAGACTAAAAATAACACGCATTAGTTGTAATCACAGGCATGAAATAATTTTGTGTTCGTCAGTTGTAAACAGATATGACTGATATTTCCTAGAAATTTGTCTTTCACTTAAATATAGATATAAATATTTATATCTTTATCATTTAAATGTAGGAAACATAAAATTTGTTCTTCAAATATGACTAGTATCTGGACTTGAAAAAACTTATTGACCTTTAAAAGATTATCGGTTAAGTATCTGGTAAAACGAATGTAATTCGTGTTTATTTACAAAATATCACACTGAATCTCTAATACGACAGTCACCTACGTAATGACGTACGAACTACTACTATACTGGGAAACAATTTATATACCGTATTTATATAATGTCTTAACATTGAAAAATTTGAAAACTAAAATTGAGGATATGTTAGGATTATTTGGTTTGTTACCATCTATTGTTTTAATTTGAACACAGTATAAATGTATATCTATATATATAAAAGTATTGCGATACTGAGTGACTGACTGACAGACAACGTACAGCCGAAACAACTGAGCGTAGAAAGTTGAAATGAAGATTCCTTAGGGAGTGTAGAGGAGCACTATGAGAGGATTTTTGAAAATTCCACCCTGAAGGAGCTAAATTAGGGGATAATAGTTTCTATGAAACTTAGTTACAACAAGTGCTAGGAGTTTCAAATTGTACATGCGGATTCTTTTTAGTACGCTCACTAAGACGTAAGAATTTTACGAAATCCGACCCCTAAGGAGGTAAATTAGGGGATGAAAGTTTTTATGGAATTTTCTAATTTCAGGGCTTAAAACAAGACCACGCGAGCAAAGTCGCGGGCAAAAGCTAGTGTAAACATAAGTAGGAACAATTGTTGTTGATTTCGGTGACAAAGATGAGGGTAAAAAATTACTATAATTCTTCTTCAATGATCCTTAAAACTATATCATATTTAATACTTGTTTTCCACTATAATATTCTTCGATAAAGAAGCCCCGCGTGCGTAGTATGACAAACTCAAGAAACGCTTTTCTACACCAAAAGTTTTCTTGGGTCAAGAGTGAGATATCGTATGGGCGCATCCGAAAAAAAAAGAGACATTTGCATGTAGACAAAACATTCCCGAGTGCGACATGCTACGCGTGCTGATTATGAAATAATTTCAAACATTTAAATACGATGGACAAATATTATTCGATAATTCGATTACTCACACAGTCCCTTGAATCGACCTTTGCTCCAGCGTCCAGCAGTTCTCTGACCACGGCCAGGTGTCCACCGCGCGCCGCAAACGCTAGCGGCGTCCACCCGTCGGCGTCGCACGCGCACGGATCCGCGCCCGCTGCAAGGAGAGCGCGCAATGTAGCGATGCGCCCGTTCTCACACGCAACCATGAGAGCAGTTGTTCCATTCTGTTTAGACAAATGTTTCAGTAATTTAGTATCTAGAAACATAAACGTTTTCTTAACAGTTTTGCAATGTTTGGAAAGGGAACGATCAGTTATAAAAATGAATTTTATCAGTCTTAATAACATATAACTAGCTGTTTTTCCGCGACTTCGTTCACGTAAATTATAGTCTAAGACACCCGCGTATGTTGTAGTTTCCTCTAAGTAAAAGATTGTATCGGTATTTTTGACGGTTATCCCTTACAAACAAGTTAGAATCGTTACCTGTTTATAATATTGGTTAAGATATTTTGAACATAGATTCCCATCACACCACATGTTTTTGTGTAATCTTTAAGTAAAACCGTACGAAAATTATTCAAATGGTTCTACCGACTAACGGAAGCCAATCCTGGTCAGTCCGCTTCATTTTGACATATTGACCAGGCCTTCTGACTCGGTAGAGCAGGTTGTCCCAGAAATGAATACTAAAATTTTTGAATAAAAACTCGCAAAATAGGAAATCAGTAAGACTAAAAAGGTTTGTCAAAAATAACTTTTGAGCGGAACCCTCTGCGCTCGAGTCCAACTCACTCTTGCCTTTATTTGTAAGGAAAAACGGAGGAACGGTAAATTTTGTTTTTGAGGAACAAAAAACTAAAACGAAAGATGGACGCGCACCTCATCTCTATCATCAATGTTGACATTCTTGTTGTTGGCGAGATATTGCTGTAGTTCTGTTGCGGTGTCGCTGTTCACCAGCTGTGAGAGAGTCTTGAAGCACGCCAGCGACACCATCGACTCGCTTCGATGGAGGCTCTGCAAAACAATTATACAATGATTGTTACAGAAAAAATATTTAGTCGATTTGATAACCTCAACCTACCATTACGGTAATCGGAAACAACGAAGATACCTAAACTCTAAACCCGATACAAAAACTCCTTTTAGTTGAGTTGTTATTGAAAAGTTAATGGAAAACCCCTCTTCAAAATTAAAAACTCAAAAACAAAAAACTACTTTTTCATATTGATCCAATATTATAGAATAAGTATTTGAAATATTTTTACTTATAAATTTTTTGTTACAGCTGATAAATCAATCATAAGCTATAATTTTACAAGTTTCGTTAGTAATAAAAGCGTAAAACGACATCAAAAAATTTACAAAGCTTTTGAACAATAAATGATTAAACTATTTTTAGCCAAATTATGCATTCACTATGTTATGTTAAAAACCAAAAACTACTTAGAGGCTCCCCTTTTTTGTGATCAGTCCCGGTGTCCCTGGTAACGTAGGGAGGCAAATACGTCCCGTTTTCGAATCGGTGCAAAAATTTTGTCTGACGCACATTGTCGGTTGCTTGCACAATAAGGAAAAGAGTAAGGCATTCATTTGTTTTCCAATTATTTTGAGGTTCTTCAAGACCTCATGTTATTATAACGAAACTGTATATAAGTTACGTCTTAAGAATTCATAATTTTAATTTATTTATCAAAAAACAAGTGTTATGTTTTGATTCAAAGAAAAATTCGTCACGTTAGACATACCTGAGTAAATATTCTAATTCAATATAATTATGTTAATGTAATTTCTTCGTGATATTTATATAAAAATAAAAATAAACTTTAGGTCCCGATGTTCTCTCTTGCGCGATAAACTCAGTAACCGGTGAAATTATTCAAACCTCTGTCTTTTGTTATAAAAATATAAAAAATAACTGTGTGATTCTTAATAATAAAAACCTATTTTTTATAAACAGTAATAGCAAAATCATTATAATGAATTTTCGAAAATTATAATTTGAAAAGTATGTTACTAGGTTTATGTGTAGGCTAGGTTAATGCGTAAAAACATTAATTTCTATGTTCTACAAAAACTGATTTGAAGCAGTGTATATTTAAGCTCATATTTTAAACTATGATCGACAGGCATCGACCAAGATGACGGGCATATTCAGCAGAACAACATTAAAATGTTTTCTGTTCAAAATGTGAAGCGTCTCTGACAGCTGTAATAGAGCAAACATGAGATTTGAAATTTTAATTTGACATTAGACAAACTAAAACAACATCAGTTAACACTTTAATGCCAACATTGTAATTATATAGTATTCATAGACTATATGCATTATTTTTAAGAAAAGCTAAACATATTATGAGAAGATACGAGTAGTTAAATATAAAGACTAGTGTTAAGTCATGGTGTACATAATTATTATGACGTTGATCGGGGAAAACTGGAAAGTGCTGTAAAGTTATAGGGAATTATGGAGTTATCTGTTTAGTTATAAATGTTTACACGCTAACTAGTTAAATGTCACGGCAGATACAAAATTAAATGGATATTAAGATACATAAATAATTTCCAAAAAAAGTTAAGTTTAAAATACCTCGGAAATGTTCAAACTCCAACGTAGCATTTCCTATTGTACACAGATATATGGATAAAAGAAATTCGCTTTCTTCTGTTAAATAAAACAATAATTCAAATGGAAGCACCAGTCTTCTGACGCAGCCGACTTTGTTATGACCAGTTTATAGATTTAACGATAACACTTCTTATCACACAAGGTAGCGCAATATCGTCAACACTAATAAAAATTAAGAATGAAGTTTATGCAAAGGTTGATAATTTATGTACACATATTTAAAGGTATATAGATTATTTCAAGAAGCCGATATAATACTACGAATGTTTATAAATAATTAAAAATCTGACACCACTTCGTAAGAGCTAGCCTCTTTCATGTATTATTTTAAATACTTACGATTTAATTAGTATGAGTTTCCTTAAAAATAGTTGGAGACACAACTAATTAATTAATATTGTTTTTTTATGTATATAAAAATCGACATTTAACACAATACGTGCAGTTAGTCTGACAAACAAACGAAACACTTCAAACAGTAAGGTGAAAGGAAACAACGCATTCACACTTGCAAATCATCCTTGCGCAGACCGTGTTAGAGTGTCGACGTAGAGCGAAACCGTGGAACGCTGCGAATCCATGGCTCAGCCGCCTGTGTTGTTGTTGTTCCCCGGGAGGCGCTGTCACCGTGAACTTCGGCACAGTGAAGTGGGGCCCCGCAGATTGGGGACCCGGGTGCTCCATGCCCCCGCTCAGCGGCAGAAACGAAGGCCGTCGCCGCTTTGGCTTGGCAGGTGGTGCCAACATCGATCCTGCGAAACTATTACTTTTCTCGCGCTTAGTCGGAACCGGATTCTCTTCTGCTGAATTTAAATCTGACTTCTCCGAACCCGACACACTTCTGTCTGTATCTGACGATGTAGGCGATTCCTTAACCACTTCCAACGGCATACCATCTTCGGTGGCAGAGTCTGGCGGTCGCGACACATTTCGTGGTTTATGTATGTTTGCAATAAGACACCGTATGTGTACGAACTCGTTATCACCACCGGGGGTCGGCAAGTGCGGTGGCAGAGACATCTTGTCTCGTCTTCCCGCATAATATTAGAAGAGTGCTTTCCCCGGTGTCTCGTGACAAATTATCGCGATGCGTAAACCCAGGAGACTGACGCGACCGACTGATCCCACGTCGGGCGGGCGGATACTATTTAGAGAGCGGTGTAAAGAGGGGCGGGCGGCGAACGTAAGGCGGTCGCCATGAATGAATCCGTCGAGTCCATACGTACTAGAGAATAAGTGTTGTTAGTTCGCAGCGAAATAAGTCTGAACACGGCGGACGCGGCGCGACGCGTGGTCCTCTCCGGGGGCAGCATTATGTGCGACGTCTGACGGAACTATGAACTATCCGCGTTGGTCGTGAGAAACGACCAGCCCTCCCCGCCGCCGGTATACACAACAAACCACTTATTTGAACTTCATTTAGTTTTATACTCTTGTTAAGCACTTCGCACATCTGTGACGTAAGAAAACTTAAGCTATTCTATTAGAGTTACCTACGTAGCGTGCACCAAATTTTAATCGGATGCCAATCACCAATCACCGCATAATAGTAATCACCGCTAGTTTATGATCGTACTAAAATTCAAAAATCAAACGATAAGATTATAAGTGAAGGAGACATTTGAAGATGTTTGCAATTTTACGGTGATATATAATAATATATTTATAATAATAATATATTTATTTCTGCATAAATATGGAAAGTACAAGATGTTACAATTTATTTTCTAGTTAACAGACATATTTACCAGAAACTGGCATGCAGAAGAAATTATAACAATTAAGGAATTACAATAATAATCATAAAATTAATCAAATGTCAATTAAATATCATCAACGTAAAAGTAAGATTTAAAAAAAATGTCATATACAACACAATAATAGTAGTTTAATAATTCATAATTTTGAGATAATATGTCAACATTAATATTCAAAATATTCCTTTAAGCTATAAAAACATTTCGCCGTAAGCCATTCTTTTAACTCAGACTTGAATATACTGCCTCCGTGGGAGCTGGAAGCTAGGGTTCTCACGGAGGTATACACGGCCAGAAGAGAGTCGTTGGCTCGTGGTGACCGACTGGCTCCTGTAGAAATGGTTGCAATACGAAGGCAATTCGAGGACACTCTTAACGACGACTGGTCGCGATCACTTGAGTCTTCTCCCGCCGGAATCCGTACTCTTGCCGCCATCCAACCTGTCCTCAGGGACTGGAGGGAAAGGCGGCACGGAGCGCTTACCTTCCATCTGGTGCAGATTCTCACGGGGCACGGCTGCTTCGCAAGATACCTGCACCGGATAGGAAGAGAGGACACCCCACTGTGTCAGCATTGCGGTGCTGGTGAGGACACTGCGCAACACACCCTTGAGGTGTGCAGCGCTTGGTCCTCCCAGCGGTACGCACTGACGCTTGTGGTGGGCCAGGACTTGTCTCTCCCCAACGTAGTTCGGTCTATGTTGGGCAGCCGCAGGTCCTGGGAGGCGGTCTCCTCCTTCTGCGAGACCGTGATGTCGCAGAAGGAGGACGCGGAGAGAGCACGCGAGCTGGCAGCCCTCGCCGGCTCTCGCCGCAGTCGTAGGACGGGGGGCAGAAGGCGTCGCTATGCGCGCCTACCCCCGTCCTGAGGTCTGACTCCTTTACCCTGGGGTCTTCGTTCGGTCTGGTCTGCGTACTCCGTCCTGAGCGGGTCCGCGTCCGCATATATGCTTTCGCATGTGTGCGGCCGGGGGCTCATCTGGGTGGAGAGCACAATAAGGTGCACAGACCGGACCGGTCTCGTGGTCGTTTGTCTCTTTCCTCTCGCCAGGTAAGGTGGAGGAGTGCGAGGGGACTGAGGGAGGCGGCTTTGAGGTGAGAGGAACCTGGGAGGTGCCCTACCGTAAGGTGGGGAGGGGAGTTCCCTTCGCCCCGCGGCTGCGGCGCTGTCGGGGTCCTGGCATACATACACTTACATGCATAATAAACGCACATACATCACACCTACTCTACCCTACACAACACGTACACATACAGTCACACTTTCACAGTTACACATACATATACATACACATACTCTCACACACACTCACACACTTTACACACACATTTACACGCCGTACTAGTCTGGAGTAGTATGGTGGGTACTTACCTGGGTACTTACCTGGGGACTTACCTGCTGTGCTTGCACGACGACTGGTGCGGCGCCGGGACCTCGGTAGGGCCATAGCCGCGGCGCGACGAGAGGGGATGCGACCCGTCGACTAGCTGGACGCCCCTGTCTGCCCTTCGGGCCTGATACAGGGAGTGATGAGGCTGGTCTTCTGTGGCGCATCGACCTACGGGGGGGGGGATCCACGAAAAGGGCTATGCCTGTGTGGATCCTCCCAACACGATGGGTAGGGGCCCGGAGATTGCACAGTTGCGCATCTCTGGTCCCTAGTCAGGGGCAGCTGGCCGGTTCGCGCACCGGTCGGCATTGCACGCTCCTGCCTCGTCGTGGGGATGCGTCTCGAATGTCTCTGAGACGTACCCCCAACCCGAGTGGAACCTGTCCTTTCAGGGCAGGCCGAAATGGGGGCGAACTGCGCGGTGTATGGCCTCCGGGCCGATCCCGCGCCTCGCCCACCATGAGAGGGACATCGCTGAGTTTTAGTGGGTAAACTTCTGTTTCTTGTCTAGCCCCCTTTTGGGGGTGGGGCCACAGGAGGAGTCCCACATCACCCGTGGAGCCCGCGCAGGGCGAAGCGGGTATGCGTAACGCATTTCTCAGCGTCAAAAAAAAAAAAAAAAAAAAAAAAAAAGACTTGAATATACTAAGCCTGTCGTTTTTAGATTTTATTGGCAGCTTATTAAAAATTTTGATTGCCATAGGATAAGTACTTTTTTGCCACATTTCCGTTTTTATCGAAGGTTATTATATATTAGAAGAATGCCTCAGAAAATCTAGAAATTGTTATGGAAATAACCTTACCAAAATCCATGAATATCACATAACACTTACGAAACTGACAATTATAAAGAAAGTATTACAAGGAGGTTTTCACAGATATAAAATCTTGTTTAAATCGAGCATACATTTTACTATTTCTAATGACAGATTTTCTTGTGAAACTAAATGTACCTTTATATTTTCGGAGCAATATACTAAGAATCAATGTAATAAGAACAAAAATAGAAAGTTTAATCTATTTATAATTACTGTGGGTGTTGTAGTGAGTGTATTAAGAAGAGCCTTTGTCTTATCTATGTTCCATGTTAAAGGTACAGGTACTCTCTAAATTGTAGTCTAATTGCCTGTCACTAATTGTTGTTACCTACTTATTGGTTAACATATTTTATAAAATGAAGTTATTGTTGTTATAATATAAACGCATTTTTGGGAAAAGAAGTATACAAAGTATCATGGCCACTTTCCATATATTGATTGACCTGTCACATGTTTTTTTACCCACCATTAGTGATAATTTAAATAAGTTTAAAATAGAATAATAAGTTTAAATTAAAGTTTAAATTAAAGAAGAATAACTTATAACTTAGTTTTTTTTTTATTTGGAGACCTGGGAGATTTATAATTTGTGAATAATATTTTGAGGTTATAACAGCTATTAAAAAAATATAATTGCATTAAAATCAAAGCTATTTATAGTTCACTCATAAATATAGAAATAAATCTAAATGTAATAGTTAATGTACTCTTATGACGAAATCGTGTACCTTATGAGGAAAGAATATTTTTTCCGTGGTATATGAAACGAAATCGTAGCAAACCGTCATTGGGTCCGAATCGCATTGGCTAGTTATCATAGTATTATTTAAAAATAATTATCTGCCTCGCAATTTTTTTCCTGACTTTATTTTAAGACTAGTGGACGCCCGCGACTTCGTCCGCGTGGAAGTCGGTATCCCGTGGGAGTGAGAAGTTTTCCCAGTAAAAAGTACCCTATGTGTTATTCTGATGTATAACCTATATTGCTGTAAAGTTTTATCCAAATCCGTCCAGTAGTTTTTTCGTGAAAGAGTAACAAACATCCATACATCCATACTTACAAACTTTCGCCTTTATAATATTAATAGGATAAAAAGTACCCTATGTGTTATTCTGATGTATAACCTATATTGCTGTAAAGTTTTATCCAAATCCGTCCAGTAGTTTTTTCGTGAAAGAGTAACAAACATCCATACATCCATACTTACAAACTTTCGCCTTTATAATATTAATAGGATTTAATTTCCTGATACGAAATAATTCAAAAATTGGTTTGTTTGTGATATATCTCATCACTAGACGCTTAGTGAATGATCAGATAAAAATTGAAGATGATTCTTTATGTACCGATTGATGTTTTATAAACAAATTTAATGTCATTTGGACCATAAAATACCTCTTCTTTATGATAAAAGAAGAAATAAACTTAATTTATTTGTATGACAACCTTTTTTGAAAGTTAGTAGCTACCCAGGCCAGCTTAGCAAGGGTAATAAATAACTTTCTATAAATAGGGTCCAATAGTGAAAACTAAATCGAAGGCATTTTTTTAGTTGGAGTTAACAAATAATTTCACAATGAGCATTAATTAACGATATAACTTGCATTTTTAAAATAATTCATTGTGAAACCAACATCGTCAACCATGGTTAGAATGTCATCGTCAACCACAGGGACAGTGGGAGATCCACTTTTAATTTATATGTAACTAGCTTTCGCCAGCGGCTTCGCCCGCGTGGGAAATGTTAAGTGGGAAATGTGTATACCAAATTTCATCAAAATCCGTTCAGTAGTTTCAGCGTGACTGACGGACAAAAATCCAAACAAAGAAACTTTCACATTTATAATACATATTAATAGGATTAGCTATTTTCCCGCGACTTCGCTCCCGTCGATAATATAGGCATGTTACCCGCGTCTGTTGTAGCTTCACATAGGTGAAAGAATTTTAAAATCGATTATTATCTAATACTTCCGGAGCCTACACAATGCCAATAAACAAACAATGGAATATTAGTATAGATGTAATGATTGTTCTCTAATGATACTCTTAAACGATTTTTGAGTATAGTATTTCTCGTACTAGGTCTAGAACCTAAAGAGTACATAGTGTGCAAGAGAACCGGTCTAACAATCATTGGTTACAGAAAAAACTTGAATGTGGAAGAACCGTACGCAATATAAGGCGAGCAAAAAGGAGTAACGGTGCTGTTACCAGGATTCTAAACTTAGAAACGTCTTCATGGAGATAAACTTAACGTGAAGGAAATGAAACTACTTAAATATTAATTCTTACCTGGCCTGTATACGCTCTTAAAAAAGACGCTGCGCGAAGCATTTCCATAGAGACAATTCGAAAACGAATCTTATTCCTATCAATAATATTTGTAAAATGTACTGCAAGCACACATTCTAATTTACGTCTTCAAAGCCAACAAACTAAAAGGCGAGCGTTTGGCCACATTGTTCTTATACCGTCCAATGTTTTGCGAATGCTTAACTACTGTTAATATTGGACCTAAAGATATCGTTATCAAAACAACAATATTTATTGCATACGATTAAAATACGGCTATCATTACACCATAGTTTAAACATAGCGAAAGATTAAGATTATAATGCGTTTTACTGTTAAGACTCGGTAATGTTACTATTAAATTACGTTATAATTGAACATCCCGATTTCCGAGATTATTTATGTTTCTGAATCACACTGATTAATTTCCGTACATTTCATATATGTGTGTATATTTTGCATAAACTGGTTTATTTCTAACTAGCTGTTACCCGTGACTATTCAGAAGAATTTCTGTAGGTTATTAATTAAATGATAGGCGCCCCTCGACTTAAATAGCATTTTCTTGAGTAAGTCGCTTTTGAAATAATTTTTATTTTTCACTTTTTTTTAGTTTGAAGTCGGTTCTATTTTTTTTAAAAGATTTTATTTCTTTTTAATGATATTGATATTTTTTATATAGTAGGTAACACTAAAAATACTTTTCTGAAAACCGCGACGAAACCGTGTTAAAGTGCGAACCTCCATGTTTTAGTTGGTTAATATACCTAAAACCTTCTTCCAAGTCTGACTAATACTATGCTGAAAACCGCATCAAAATCGATTCAGCCAAACGCGAGATAATGGCGCACAAACATACATAGGTATAGGTCAAACTGAGAACCTCCTTTTCTTAAGTCATTTAAAAAGTAGCCTATGTCATCTCTACTCATATCTAAGCTCAGTTGCGATGAGAACTAAAGACAAAACAAACACAGTTTTCTATGTATAATACCAGTATGGGTGGCGTTAGCTAATTTAGTTATAAACGATTTGCAAAGAGAAAGCATCCCGATGCAGACTAGTTTAAAAAAAAAATATATTAGCAATGTTTATAGGTAAACGTTACGGAAAAAGTGAGTAATTTATGAAGGGTTCAGTTTTTTAACGACTGCCCAAAAAATTTAAATCCGTATTGTGTTTAGGGTTAATTTCAGGGCACAAGAACTAATATCTTTTCATTCTTACATTTTCAAGGGATTTTATACTACCAAAGGCGGTGAATAGAGGTTATTTTTGAAGTTAGAAACATAAAACTTTATAAAACTTATTTTTGGATACCACTGATTCAGAATTAGAAATACCTACCTATTCGTTTAGCACTTCTGGATATTGGAAGCCTAAAGGGTTATTCTTATTCACAGGGTAGAAAGTTTCTTATTCACATGGAATAAATCAGTTTCTTCCATTCCAACTTTCTACCGAAGGCGAAGCCCGCTGGTGTAAAGCTAGTATATTTTTGTCATTGGTAAAAAACTTAGTAGCTTATTGGTTATTCTATGTAAGAGAACAATTTAACAGAATATTTCAAATTATTTAATTTCAGACCACTCAATACCACATAATTAACAAACATTTTACGATCTGTCTCCCTTGAAATCCCGAAGGCAAGCATACATTATTTGTCGAAAGGAATTATTTCACAAAAAGAACACTCGTAGATTTTTTTGTATAGCTTATTATACTCGTAGATTTTCTAAAAAAAAATCTACTAGTATATTTAATAAAAAAAAATATCGACAATATTTTTTTTCTCTTTAATATAAGGCATTTCCATAATAAACACTTGCATTTTAATTGTAATAGAAACGGACACCTAAGAATCATGTAATATTATTTTTTACATTAGGTATCATTGATACTCACCTAATTAGGTGCCTAGCATCCTAGGCATAACATATCATCAATATTAGCAACTTAATTCATTGTAAATTCAATTTAGATTATAATTAAGAATTGTGTAAGTACATATGTATATTTAAATTAGCGTTTAATATGTTTTTCTATATGTATGTATAGGTATAGATTAAGATTTACATTGTAATTAATTATTCTTCTCCTTATTCTTAACAAAATTAACTTCATACACTTGTATGTTCTTGATTGTTCTTGTTCAAGTTGTTGTTCTTGATTGTACTTGTTCTTGTTCGGCTATATATACGCGATAGGTACAACAAATAAAAAACGAAAAATAAACATCAAGACCTGAATTTCATATCAATATGAGTACGCGGAAAACTACCCCCTCTCCCTCAAAGGGTACCTACCTATTCTATGGTATTATGTAGTAATATAGGTATTTTTTGCCTGTACGTATTTAACAATGTAACGCGGAAATAAGAATAAATGTAATGGAATATTAACTTGTTTAATATTATCAGTGAAAACGTGTTGTATGAAACTTCCTAATACGGTAAAAAAAAAACAATAATGTTATTTTTTATTTAGATTACTACAACTTGTCAGATTTAGGCAATTGATTTTGAATTCTACTCCCAATGTGCTAAAATATAAAATCAAGTGCAGAATTTTGACAGTTTTGGCTGTAAAACGCTTCGAAACAGAATAATATAAAACATATTATAAAGGAAAATATAAAATCAGAGGAACTTATGTACCATAAAAATTAATAGTACTCGTACTAACAAGATTGAGAAAAAAACATCAGACAATCAAAGACACTGTTGCTGGGCCACAGGCCTTTCTTATGGGTGGAATCAAAGATACATTAAGTATGTACTTAGTTAGATATTTTTGTAATTTACCTCATTAAAAGGATTTCTTTCGCTGACAGTATCTCTTACGAACTTGTAATATGGGAAGAGGCTTCCGTAACTTCTGGGTACTCTGCCACCCAGTACCAGAGGATGCCGCTCGGCCACCGGTGCCGAAGTGCCAGCCCTATCCATCGATGGCAATATATTATCTCTGAAAGCACTACACTACTAGTCTCCAGGCTTCTAAATTTATACATCGTTTGCCATATCCACATTTGCCTCACTTTAAATAGCAACACAAAACGAACGTTACTAATTAAATATTTAATCGAATAAAATCACTGCACAATAAATATTATGTTACATTTGAGGGTATAATAATTTCTCAAGATACTTGGGTAAGGCTGGTCGAGTCCTGCGTGTGGCGTCCGACTACGCCATGTATTATTGATAAGAAGCAAGTAATAGATTTAAATTACATATATAAACAACTCTTATCGTTGTTATCTGTACGGTTGTGGAAAAGGTGTTCGTAGTCCTACACGTTTTCATGGAAGGGCCAAGTAAAGATAACAAAATAAGGACTTACTTCAAAATGAAATCTGTAAGAGTTATCACTATTTGCTCATTGTTATTTCTGCAATAATGTAAAAAAATGCGTTTTTAAATTTTTGATTAAAATTACGAGAAAACAATGAAGGAAAAATTCAAATATGCCACTATGTAGACGTTAGGCACCATCTAGTGGTAACAGATAGAACTAAATGTTAAAGAGTAGCGATAACTTTCCTACGCACGAATATAGCACATCGTCGCATGCGCTTGCTTATCGGTTAGGACATTAGAACCATTAGGAACGATAATTCAATACAGTAAACACAGATGGCGTTCTAATACTTATCAAAATAATTTTAACCTGGTTCACCTATCCTCATCATCATCAGCCGGAAGACGTCCACTGCTGAACATAGGCCTACCATAGGTTCACTGAAACTGAGCTGAACATAGGTTCACCTATAAATAAATTTAAATATGTACTCTGAACTAAACATTACCATTGTTACAAAAAGTAAGGTGCGCTTAGTGTACAAGTAGAATGACTGATGTTAGGTATTTGTATGAAGATAGAATAAAATTGGAAATATGCAACAATCACAGGTTTCTGAAAACACACTTCACGCTTACAATTAGGTTTTCTTCTCGATCTCGATCTCGAGAAACAAAGAATCAACCACAATAAAAATGCTACGTAAGTACTTATTGTTGAGTATTCAGTCACGAAAACTAACATAGAAATGAATTAATTCACTTTATTATTATAATTGCGATGAACTATTATTTTATTTTGGTTACTTATCGACTCATCAAGTCAATCTGAACTAGATTTGAGACCAAAAACAATATTTAAGTTTTCGATTGAGCATAGAAATCGAATAGTGCATGTAGTAGATATTAACAAAATAAGTCCTAAATTTTATAATGATCCAATTAAAATTCTCAAAGTAGAATGTTAGCGAACATAACAAAATATCAACATAAAAGTCTTAGGATATCAAAATGCTGATAACAAAGATGTGTACGTAGATAGGTATGCAGCCTTTGATATTAATAATAATCTCTATCAAAAATCACCGATAGATACAGAAATTTGAGATTTCACTTATCAATTATTCATATCAAATTGAATACGTTGATAAAGCATGATTAACTAATACTGTAAACTTAAGTTCATATCAACTTATCTAGGTAGGTATAAGCTTTTAAGAGATTTAAGAAAGGCGAGAGGATTCTCGTGTAATAAAAAATGTTTTACTGTATTCTAAAACGTATTCTAACAATGCCTGACGACGCCGAAGTCAATATAAAATTTGAAGTAATCACCCAGTAATTGGATGAATTGTCTGTCATTCAAATTACAAATCAAAGCTCTAGCCTTGAATCAGTCTAGGTTAATGTCCCGTGCATTGCAAAAAAGTGTTGAGGAAAATAAAACGAAGTAATGACGACAGTATAAAAATAAAATCAAGCGTGCAGATTTGAGAGACAATATGCTAACTAACCGCATGATATATTTCATGCTTAAAATTTACAACTTTTGAACGGAATCAAAATTATCCACCAACTGTGAAAACCTTGATAGCTTACGACACACGATTTCATGATTTTTTTGCCCCTCCCCCGTTCTAGTCACAGCTGGTCATATTTGTAAGATTCCCCTAGTGTGATGTCACATATTTTGCAAGGTTTTCGTAAAGTAATAGTTTGAAATTCGTGTTTTAACACTTACATTATTAATATATTTTGAAATGTGACGTCACCAAAATTTAGGACCCTCCCACCCCTTGTCACACAATGTCACACTTCGTCGACCCCCTCCCTCCCCCTTAACGTGTGACGTTATTTATGGATGGCCCCTTAGCGTAAATCATAAAAGAAAACGACATAATTTATTTTAATCCCGAAAAATTCAAAAGCTGAAATCATGATCAGAGTGAAAAAAGTACTTGAAATATTTTTCACTCGTTCTTGTAATTTTTTAAATGCTCGAGTTTATGTGTATCTGTGATGCTAGTTACATTAACATTTCCCAAGAGTTTACTACAAAATACTATAATAATGAAACCACTAACCAACGATATGAAAACAGGATAACACAATGCGTGACAAAGCACCAAGCAAGTATATGTAAATCTATTCACATACACAATGTAATAATATAAATGGTCTGTGTAGGAAAGTCTAACTGCATGCCTACGTTACTGCATTGATAAGGTGTCATTTACCGGTAAAATGACACGTTTGGTATTTTATTATTGAACGGACCACAATACACGGTACTTAATATAAAGATAGAAAAAAGGAATCGTCTATCAAAACGAGTTTTGTTGCTACCTCACTTTGAAGTCAAACATTTTCAGTTCAGACCAGCTTTTCCTTATTATGAACTAACCCAGATTATAGTCCAACAGCAATACCTGAAGATGACAGATTAGAAATTTAGGACAAGAAAATAATTTTCCATATAACAGACATTTTGTGAACAGTGTGTACTACCGACAACGTCGTATCCTTGTTAACCGATGGGACGATGGTGATGCAGTACATCATGAAGCGAGCCACTCGTAAGCTACCACTGCGCGTCCCACTTCAGAAAGAGATTGTCAGAAAACACCGTGTGCATAAAAAAATAATAAGTGGAGCACAAAAAATAAAACCGACTTTTAACTAAAAAAAAGGTAAAAATAAATAGGTAGATAATATTATCATAAGTTTGACGTCGGTTCTATTCTTTGAAAAAAAAAAAAAAAATTTTTAGTGATAAATATAGATACTATATAAATAAATATTTTGTATAGGTATTACTAAAATCGTAACAGCTAGTTTGACAGAAATAGATTCACAATTCATGAAGAATTTGTGAACATACGAGTACGTTCATGCATAAAAAAATATACATACGCGTTTGACATAGAAATTCCTCCTTTCGGATTTGAATGAATCCAAAGTACGTCTTTTGTTTTTTCGCTGATACAAACATCTCATCAAAATAAGTATTTAGGTGATATCTGATGAAAACATATTTTGTTTTGTTGTAAAGTAAAAGAGAACTATTGATTCGATTTCGATAAATTTTAAATGAAACCACGTCGGCTTATTAAGCTAAAGAATAAAAAAAAAAGAAATTTGAAAATCGATTCATAATTATCGGAATAATCGAGTCGAATTGAGAACCTCCTCCTTTTTTGAAGTCATTTAAATAACCATAAAGGACTAATAGGTTGGCCACATTTATCGACAAAATGACGAACGATTTAACAAGCTCATTCTTGGAGAGAGACCAGACCACATAAAAGTAGCGATAACACCATTTCGAGACAGAGAAATGGATAATCTTGCTGAATGGAGAAAAAAAAGAGAAGCAGATCGAAAATGGACAAAAAGATTCGCCTACCGTTGGGCAAAGCAACGCTGATGAAGATTAGATATTTTATTTCCGTACGGTTTTGTCGGATTTGGTGTCTTTACGATGAAAAACACGTATAGTTGCAATCCACGTAAATTTTCAATAAGGATATTTAGTGCATACGATAGACAAGAAAAGTAGCTACAATTCAATATTGTATGTATTCTGACAAACATTTCAATAACAGTAAAGAAAGAAAACAACATATTTTCCCATATAGATTATTATGTTTGTATTATATTATTAGATAATAATTAAGTAAGCGATAAGACATGAACCAATATTGGCATATATTATCGCTCAATTTGATTATAATAAAATATTTTAATCAAAGGTTGCAAAGTGTAAACATGAAGAATGAAACATATATTCTCAATTAGCTATGCAACAAAAAAATAAATTATTTGACGATATCTACAGCTGATGTTCGTATCATTTATTACATAATAATAAAATGCAAAAGCATTTGATCCAACATTAGTTTAATACATATGTGTAGTAAAGCTTGAAACAAATATTTATTTATGGGAAGAATAAAGGAGCCTTTGTTTATATACCAAGTGAAATCAAAGGAAGGAGAAATGTGAAGGTAAATAAATGTAATAAAAAATATCAAAAATAAGACAAAACAAAAAAGAATTGTCTATCAAAACGTGTTTCGTTCGTATAAAAGTTTAAGGTCAAACAAAAAGTGCAATTTTGTAATTACTAACAACATTCACTATAAATGACCAACTTAACTATAAAACATTTGATTTGTGGAATCGGATGATGTCACACGGCATAGTGACGCATAAAGACAAGATACCACTTCGACCTTGAGCACACAATAAAACAACGATTCACATATCCAAATGTAAGCCCAGTTAATATTAGATGAGGATATTCCAAATTTCACCGAAAAAATAATAAGTATTCGAAAATATGCTAAAAATGCGATAATTAGGGGCTGCCTTAGAACTTTTTCAATGTAGTAAAATATAGAATTTTCATGTGGTACTTCACGCGTCAATCAGTGAGGTTTAGTAAAAAGTTTCTCGATGATATATGTGTAAGTAAATAGTTAAAAGCTGTTCTAAATTTTTTTTTGTATTATGCTGAAAGTATTTGAATTTCATAATCCTAGCCTCTGATAATTCGACTTCAATTTCATGATCAAATTGCTTGTCTGAAAATTATTATAAATTCTGTTTTAGGAACAGAGAAACTTTTATATGCTGCTTTTAGCGTAATATTAATATCACGCAAGGCTTTTATCTAATTAAGTTCGTTGATCAGCTTAGGTATCAGCAAATGAATACATATATAAGGCATTGCATATAATTATAGAGTTTCCTTCGCGCTTGATAGATCATTATAACATCAATAAATTTATTATTAGAACCATATCGAACCGCCCCAGGGATATACCATTCTAGCCTCTAGAAATAGTATGAAAATTAATAAAATATTCACTTAATTAGATAACAGTTTTATGCTGAAACGTTGGGAGCCTATAATTTTATACC